TTTTTGTGCTCTTGGAAAATACTTTACTTATTTAATAATCTTGACTCTTTGGTAAAAAATCTAAAATTATCAAAAATTCGAAAAAAATCAAAAAACCGAATTTCTTAAAATTCAACTTTTTTTCCTCTCTTTTATGGGATTTAGCTTCACTATTTTTGTGCTTTTGGAAAATACTTTACTTATTAAATAGTCTCGACTCTTTGGTAAAAAATCTAAAATTATCAAAAATTCGAAAAAATTCAAAAAACCGAATTTCTTAAAATTCAATTTTTTTTCCTCTCTTTTATGGGATTTAGCTTCACTATTTTTGTGCTCTTGGAAAATACTTTACTTATTAAATAGTCTCGACTCTTTGGTAAAAAATCTAAAATTATCAAAAATTCGAAAAAATTCAAAAAACCGAATTTCTTAAAATTCAACTTTTTTTCCTCTCTTTTATGGGATTTAGCTTCACTATTTTTGTGCTCTTGGAAAATACTTTACTTATTAAATAGTCTCGACTCTTTGGTAAAAAATCTAAAATTATCAAAAATTCGAAAAAATTCAAAAAACCGAATTTCTTAAAATTCAACTTTTTTTCCTCTCTTTTATGGGATTTAGCTTCACTATTTTTGTGCTCTTGGAAAATACTTTACTTATTTAATAATCTTGACTCTTTGGTAAAAAATCTAAAATTATCAAAAATTCAAAAAACCGAATTTCCTAAAATTCAACTTTTTTTCCTCTCTTTTATGGGATTTAGCTTTACTATTTTTGTGCTCTTGGAAAATACTTTACTTATTTAATAATCTTGACTCTTTGGTAAAAAATCTAAAATTATCAAAAATTCGAAAAAATTCAAAAAACCGAATTTCTTAAAATTCAACTTTTTTTCCTCTCTTTTATGGGATTTAGCTTCACTATTTTTGTGCTCTTGGAAAATACTTTACTTATTTAATAATCTTGAATCTTTGGTAAAAAATCTAAAATTATCAAAAATTCGAAAAAATTCAAAAAACCGAATTTCTTAAAATTCAACTTTTTTTCCTCTCTTTTATGGGATTTAGCTTCACTATTTTTGTGCTCTTGGAAAATACTTTACTTATTTAATAATCTTGAATCTTTGGTAAAAAATCTAAATTTATCGAAAATTCGAAAAAATTAAAAAAATCGAATTTCTTAAAATTCAACTTTTTTTCTTCTTTTTTATGGCATGTAGCTTCATTATTTTTGTGCTTTTGGAAAATACTTTACTTATTAAATAGTTTCAACTCTTTGGTAAAAAATCTAAAATTATCAAAAATTCGAAAAAATTCAAAAAACCGAATTTCTTAAAATTCAACTTTTTTTCCTCTCTTTTATAGGATTTAGCTTCACTATTTTTGTGCTCTTGGAAAATACTTTACTTATTTAATAATCTTGACTCTTTGGTAAAAAATCTAAAATTATCAAAAATTCGAAAAAATTCAAAAAACCGAATTTCCTAAAATTCAACTTTTTTTCCTCTCTTTTATGGGATTTAGCTTTACTATTTTTGTGCTCTTGGAAAATACTTTACTTATTTAATAATCTTGACTCTTTGGTAAAAAAACTAAAATTATCAAAAATTCGAAAAAATTCAAAAAACCGAATTTCTTAAAATTCAATTTTTTTTCCTCTCTTTTATGGGATTTAGCTTCACTATTTTTGTGCTCTTGGAAAATACTTTACTTATTAAATAGTCTCGACTCTTTGGTAAAAAATCTAAAATTATCAAAAATTCGAAAAAATTCAAAAAACCGAATTTCTTAAAATTCAACTTTTTTTCCTCTCTTTTATGGGATTTAGCTTCACTATTTTTGTGCTCTTGGAAAATACTTTACTTATTTAATAATCTTGACTCTTTGGTAAAAAATCTAAAATTATCAAAAATTCAAAAAACCGAATTTCCTAAAATTCAACTTTTTTTCCTCTCTTTTATGGGATTTAGCTTTACTATTTTTGTGCTCTTGGAAAATACTTTACTTATTTAATAATCTTGACTCTTTGGTAAAAAATCTAAAATTATCAAAAATTCGAAAAAATTCAAAAAACCGAATTTCTTAAAATTCAACTTTTTTTCCTCTCTTTTATGGGATTTAGCTTCACTATTTTTGTGCTCTTGGAAAATACTTTACTTATTTAATAATCTTGAATCTTTGGTAAAAAATCTAAAATTATCAAAAATTCGAAAAAATTCAAAAAACCGAATTTCTTAAAATTCAACTTTTTTTCCTCTCTTTTATGGGATTTAGCTTCACTATTTTTGTGCTCTTGGAAAATACTTTACTTATTTAATAATCTTGAATCTTTGGTAAAAAATCTAAATTTATCGAAAATTCGAAAAAATTAAAAAAATCGAATTTCTTAAAATTCAACTTTTTTTCTTCTTTTTTATGGCATGTAGCTTCATTATTTTTGTGCTTTTGGAAAATACTTTACTTATTAAATAGTTTCAACTCTTTGGTAAAAAATCTAAAATTATCAAAAATTCGAAAAAATTCAAAAAACCGAATTTCTTAAAATTCAACTTTTTTTCCTCTCTTTTATAGGATTTAGCTTCACTATTTTTGTGCTCTTGGAAAATACTTTACTTATTTAATAATCTTGACTCTTTGGTAAAAAATCTAAAATTATCAAAAATTCGAAAAAATTCAAAAAACCGAATTTCCTAAAATTCAACTTTTTTTCCTCTCTTTTATGGGATTTAGCTTTACTATTTTTGTGCTCTTGGAAAATACTTTACTTATTTAATAATCTTGACTCTTTGGTAAAAAAACTAAAATTATCAAAAATTCGAAAAAATTCAAAAAACCGAATTTCTTAAAATTCAATTTTTTTTCCTCTCTTTTATGGGATTTAGCTTCACTATTTTTGTGCTCTTGGAAAATACTTTACTTATTAAATAGTCTCGACTCTTTGGTAAAAAATCTAAAATTATCAAAAATTCGAAAAAATTCAAAAAACCGAATTTCTTAAAATTCAACTTTTTTTCCTCTCTTTTATGGGATTTAGCTTCACTATTTTTGTGCTCTTGGAAAATACTTTACTTATTTAATAATCTTGACTCTTTGGTAAAAAATCTAAAATTATCAAAAATTCGAAAAAATTCAAAAAACCGAATTTCTTAAAATTCAACTTTTTTTCTTCTTTTTTATGGCATGTAGCTTCATTATTTTTGTGCTTTTGAAAAATACTTTACTTATTAAATAGTTTCAACTCTTTGGTAAAAAATCTAAAATTATCAAAAATTCGAAAAAATTCAAAAAACCGAATTTCTTAAAATTCAACTTTTTTTCCTCTCTTTTATGGGATTTAGCTTCACTATTTTTGTGCTCTTGGAAAATACTTTACTTATTTAATAATCTTGACTCTTTGGTAAAAAATCTAAAATTATCAAAAATTCGAAAAAATTCAAAAACCCGAATTTCTTAAAATTCAACTTTTTTTCCTCTCTTTTATGGGATTTAGCTTCACTATTTTTGTGCTCTTGGAAAATACTTTACTTATTTAATAATCTTGAATCTTTGGTAAAAAATCTAAAATTATCGAAAATTCGAAAAAATTCAAAAAACCGAATTTCTTAAAATTCAACTTTTTTCCCTCTCTTTTATGGGATTTAGCTTCACTATTTTTGTGCTTTTGGAAAATACTTTACTTATTAAATAGCCTCGACTCTTTGGTAAAAAATCTAAAATTATCGAATCGAAAAAATTAAAAAAACCGAATTTCTTAAAATTCAACTTTTTTTCCTCTCTTTTATGCGATTTAGCTTCACTATTTTTGTGCTTTTGGAAAATACTTTACTTATTTAATAATCTTGACTCTTTGGTAAAAAATCTAAAATTATCAAAAATTCGAAAAAATTCAAAAAACCGAATTTCTTAAAATTCAACTTTTTTCCCTCTCTTTTATGGGATTTAGCTTCATTATTTTTGTGCTCTTGGAAAATACTTTACTTATTTAATCTGCCGTCCAATGTAAAAAGACACATCTTTTGGTTACAATAAAAAAATTTGTGTTAAAAAAATTTTATTCGATTCAAAAATGTCTACTTAAAACAAATAATTTAATAGGCTCTGAGACAAATGTACTTTTATTTAACTCAAATAAGTATTTTGTTGGAATAAGATTACTTTATGGGAGTGATTATAAAATAATTTTTTTTCTTCTTCAAATAATTATAAAAAACCTATTTTTGGTTTATTTCACGGATTGCTTATATCAACCAGCTGTACTCAGTAAGAGATTTTCGATAGTTTTCCACTCTTTCTCTCTGATTTTATTTTATAAAAATTTATTAATTTTCCAATTTAAGAAAATTTAATTTTTATTCAAATTATATTTAAAAAGAAGTAATTTTGCAATTTTGTGAATTAAGTAAACAATTGCATTGTTGTAAACTGTCAGTTTGATATATGGACATACTAACTTTTGGTTTTTGATTTTATAAAAATTCCATTCTGTCGAATGTTGAAAAGCGTTCACTTACCTCTCCGAGTCCTTTTACTTCCTCCTCATTCTCTCTCAATTTTTGCCACTCTAGTTCTTTTGGTAACAAACACAACGATGACCGAGTGAACGCGTCGGGGGAAATTCGAAAAATTGAACCGACACTTCTTCTTGTCACTTCTTATCTATTATCTAGAAAATAAATAAAAATCAAAATTTTTTCATATAAATTGTAGTATTTTAATTTTCAAAAATATTTCTAAAGCAATGTGTAAAATAATGAAAAAAAGAAAAAATATCTCGAAGCAGCTTTCATTGGTTAAACGCAGTCCGAAAAGAATTCATACGACTCATCTAAAAAAAGTCTAAAAAAAGGAAGTTAAAAAATCCATAAAAAAAGTAATCCGGATTATAATCCGGATGAGGCTTAACATCGTGTGTGTTGGGCACCGCGAGTATAAAATGAAAATTGTAATAAAAGACAAAAAATAAAATTCCGAGACTGAAAGAAAAGAAAATGAGAGTAACTTTTTTAAAGTTAACCACATGTATCAATTAGAATACATTTATTACAAAATATTTGAAATTGTTACAGTATATTCAGTAACAAAACAGTTTAAAGAGAAAGTTTGCTCGTTTACTTTTGAGTCTTTTCCTTTTTGTTTTATGTTTCACTTTATAAGTATAATAGGCAGTAATGATCGTAAGTTACAAACTATAGTTGTACCAACAAAACTAAACTTTAAATTCTTCTATATATATGAAAATTATTCTTAATAACAAAATTACAAAAAAAATATACTCTGTCACTGGAAATTTCTATACATTAGACTATATATTGTTTTCTAACGAAATATGTTAACTAAATATTATAGAATTAATAGAAAAAAAAATTTAAGAACGTGAAGCATATAGAAATCGTAAAAAAAAGAATTAGATACCTAATTGAAACACTTAGAACTAATTAAATCACATTATTATACTTTATAGTTGGAGAAGAATGCTTAGGCATTTTCGCTGGCCAGTCTTTTCTTACTCTGTAAAAAAAGTCGATTATTGAGTTTCTTTTTATTTTAAGAATGAAGAAAGTTAACGTTTGGATTTGGCAAATTTACTAGAAAATATTAACCAAAAATTAATAGTTCATTAACAATAATGCAAAGAAAAATTTGTTTCGTAAACTTAAACTTTTGCTGTCTGCAATTTCTTAAAAAATTTGAGATTTTAAAATAATTTTAATATTGACAAAAATAACGGAATTAAAGTTTATTCTTTTTAAAATATATTTATTGACGAAAGTCAATAAAGTAAGACGGTAATAAACTAGTTAAAGTGTAAAAAATAGAATGTTAAGTGAAAGAAAAAGTGTCATATTTACATTTTGTTTCACAGGTTTGGCTTCAGAATTGGAAGCATGATTTTTAGATCTCTCTTGTTCCAATTGTGCGTGCAATGATGATACTTCAGAAGTTAATTCGTCTCTTATTTCCTGAAGTTTGGCTACCTCTGCTAATACTGCAGCTTTATCTTTCACTGCAAAAAGAAATCAATTTTATTTTACAATTCAAAAATACATTTTCCATTTTTTTTCTATTACTTTTCTATTAATTTTCAATTTATATTACTCACTTTCTCCTTGCGCCAATATTTGATACAATTTTTTATTTCTATTTTTCACTTGACTGAGTTCTTCCTTCAATTTGAATACATCATCTTTGAGTTCCTTAATAATGTCATCTCTTTTTTCTAATTCAACTCTTAACTGAGCAGACGTAATTTCATTGTTATCTATTTGATTTAATCTCGCCTTTATTAAATCTTTCTCTTTTCCCTTTATTATTTCTTGGCTCGCTTCTTTCTGGACCCTTTCAAAATACTCAGGATCTGCTTCTAAATGTTTTTCTAAAAAGAAAAAGGTAATTAATAATTTTCAAATGAAAATAAAACAAAAAATAGAATATTAAAATATAAATACAGACCTCGCATTCATCAATTAATTAAAAAAAAAAAGTAAGAAGAAAAATTATTTCCATATTCAGGGTTGCCACGCTTTTGATCATTTCAAATTCCCTGACTTTTCCAGGTTAAAAAACGGAATTTTTCCAGGTTTTTAAAACTACATTTGTTGACAACAAACATTTAATTTTCTTTTTCCCTGACAAAATTAAATTCCAGACAAAATTCTTACTTCTCGACTCTAAAGAATATTCTCAATTAGTTTCAAAATTATTACTCAGAAAAATGTTCCTTTGCTTCTTTTTTCTACAATTTTTAACTAAAATTATTCTTTAAATTAATTATTTTTAATAATCTTTGAAAAATTTCTTTCAAAATTTTCAAATTCTTTTCTTTACAAAATTAAATCTACACAATTTTCAGTTAAAAGTATGAAAAATTCAAACTTTTAAAGATTATAATTTGAAATCTTTTCAAAATTCAATTATTTCTAAAAATTCACGCTATAATACTTTCTCTTTAAATTTGAATTAGTAAAAATGTTTACTATTTTCGAATTAGTGACTGACTTTTTGCTTTTGAATTTATCAACAAATTTTTAAATAATTAAAATTCTTTTGACGAATTTTAATTAAATTTTTAAGAATAATTTCCATTTTCGAGAAATTAGATTAAAATTGCATTAAAAATATAATTGAATCTCTGTAAAAAAAATTTGATTGAATTGAGAAAAGTTTTTGAAAATAATTGAAATTTTGCCAAGAATTTTATTAAATTTTTTCAAAATAATTATTGAATTTTGAAGAATAATTTTATTATTTATTTACAAAGATAATTAAAATTTTGACGAGAATTTTTTTTTTAAATTTTGACCATAATTGAATTTCTGTGAAGAATTTTATTACTTTTGAAAATAATTGAATTGTTGAGACGAACTTGAATGATATATTGCTTTTTAAATAATTGAATTCTTTTACGAAGTTTTATTGAAATACGTAGATATTAAAAATAATTGAATTTTGATAAATTGTTGAAATTAATTTAATTCTACGAAGAATTTTATTAAAATTATTTTGAAAAAAAATTGAATTATTGTTAAAAAGAATTTCATTAAAATTTTTGAAAATAATACATAATTTATAGGAAGGCTTTTTAAAATAATTGAATTTTTTTTTTTGATGAATTATTTTAAAATTTTTAAGAATATCTAATTACATTTTTCGATAAATTCCATTAAAATTGTATTAAAAATAATTGAAATTCTGCGATGATTTTTATTATTTATGAAAAAAATTGAAAATAATTGAATTCCTGGTAAAAAATATTATTCTTCATGAAAATAATTGAATTATTGCGAAGAAATTTATAAAAAAAATTTGTAAATAATAGAATTCCTGTCAAATTTTCAGTATTTAATAAATTCATTGAAAATTGAAATTTTGTAAAATTTCAAATTAAAACCTTTTGAAGTTTTTCTATTTATGAAAATTGTAAACGCAACTTTTTTAAAATTGAATTAATTTTGAAATATTTAAGTAAAATTAGATTTCAAGAATAAGCACAATAACTTTAGAAAACAATAATTTTCCAGGATTCCGATCAAAATTCCCTGACTTTTCCAGGTTTTTTCAAGGTTTTTAAAATTCCCTGACATTTCCAGGTTCCCAGGTTGCGTGGCAACCCTGATATTTTTAGTTAGATTTCTTCAAAAATACGATATTTCAAAATCATTTTTAAAAGTCAAAAAAATCAATTCTTTAAAATTTAAGGTTTTTTTTAAATTTTAAATTTTTCTAATTACTATGATTTTTTAAAATTATTTTCGTGAACTCGACTGTCATCAAAAAATAATAATTGCCATTTTTCGAAAAACTAATTTTTCCATGATTTCTAAATTAAATTATTTAAAAATTGAATATTGTCAAATAAATTTACTTTTTATGAAAATGGAATTTTAAAAAATTAACATAAAACACTTATACAATTAGTTTTAATTATTTCCAATAATTTTAATGTTGTCTTTTTGAAACTTAATTATTTCTAAAAATTAAAATTGAATTATTTTTTTTTAAATTAAATTATTTCTAAAAATTTCTGCTATAACACTTCTAATAGTTCATTATTTTCTAAAATTTTAACAGAAATTCTTTTTTGAATTAATTTTTATCAAAAATTTTTACGAGAATGAAATTATTTAAATAGAAAAACAAATAATTAGTACAAAATCTCGAAAGAAAATTATCTTTTAGTGTTTAATTATCTAATAAAACTATCCAGATATGTAGTAGCAAATCGTAGAAAAAAGTAGAAAACAGATAATGTTAGTAGATGAGTGCGAAGTCTGGTAAATAAAATAAAAAATATAAAATAAAATTACCTTTTCCATTTGAATTTATGGTTTTTTCATTAATACTTTGTGTAGGATTATTGCCCAAATTATTGAATTCCTCCAGGGACATTGTTGATTTTTTGGACTTTTTAGTGGTACCCTTTTTAGTTTGCTCCTGTTCTTTTTCAGTTTTTGAACCATTTTCTATTTGTGATTCGTAAGCTATTTTCGACAGCATTATTGCTTGATGAAGATCCTGTTCATAGGATTCTTCCACAGCCTTTATAACAGAAAAATAAAATGAAACTCATAAAGAGATTATAATAATTACAATTATTATTCATGATTTAAATAAATTACTATATAGATTTAACAAAAGAAAATACAAATTCAAAATAACATTTACCATTGAATCTTTCTGTTTCCATTGTTCCCATTGCTGATCATTAGCAACATTCTTTTTTTTCTTATTCTGAAAAATATAATTGTTTAATTTTAATTTATAGAAAAATAAATTTATAAAATTCTTTTTGGATAATGAGAATATTTTATAAATTCCCGCCTCAACAAAGGAAAAAGGTTACCGACAGCGGCGACAGCACAAAAAAAAAGAAATTGACACTTGATAAAAATACATTGACCTTACCTTGCTTTGTTTTTTCTTATCATCCTTCTTGGGTTGTTGTTTCGTCTTGTCACTCTTATTTTTTTGATTTGCCTTTACTGAATTGGCAGGTTTTGCTGTTTTCTTCGGTTTAAAATCATCGTCCTCAATGGCAAGAACAGCAAATCTAGAAGGTACGGCTGTCGCCATTATCCTCAATAATTATTAATTTTTTATAAATATTTTATTAAACCGAAAAAAGTGAAATAATAGGCGACGAGCTAGAACGATGAGATCTGTCTCGCAGAATCCGAACTTCCGGTGAATTTATCGTTCTTAAAAACTTGTCAACCTTTATTAATAATGAATAATCTCAAATTATTAATCTATTCTCGGTTTATCACAATAATTAACAATGAAATGCTTAAATTTATAATGATTCGTTAAACGAATGGAAAATTGATTTTGAGAAAAAAATAAAGAGCGTCGTCTAGCAACTACGTAAACCGGAAACGAAGTTAATAAAATGCCGACAACGATTGCAGCGCCAATTTTCATTACTACCAACCACAACTTTAAAGGATATGATTCTTCCTTTTTTTGATTAATTATTTTTTTTCTTCTCTTTTCTCAAAGTAAAGCAAAAAATTATTATTGTAAGCAATTATTTATGTTTAGATATCAAAATTACCGAAAGGTTTAAGGTTAGGTTGCCGCGCTTTTTGAAAATCCACTTTTTTGAATCTTGAAAATTCTAGAAAAAACATTGGGACAACTTACACTGCGGTGTGTTTTATTGCTTTAATTTATTTGTCTAGTATTTGTAAGTGTTTTTTTTTCTTCGTTTTTTGGTAAAAAATAGTGCATCAATTATAATAGTGGCGGAGAAGTTTAAATTTGTTTAAATTTGGCGGGTTTAATGAGGTTGGTAGAACTGTGATAAAAATGTGTAAGCAGAGACATCTACGTTGATTAACACACATTTACACACGAACAGCCATCATACATAGGCCCCGTTGCACGTCGGGAAATTAAACATGTACGTACGTCATATATCACAAATAAAGTATTAAGTCCCCAATGGATTCTTAGGGCTCGGTTTTAATTTCACACGAATAGATGCGCGAATGGATTTTTTATTGGTGGTGTGTTTTTTTGCTCTCAATACGAAATTGTCTTGGACCGGTGGCCGGGTGAGAGACGAAGCGCGGTGGAAGGACGTTCTCCTGGGACGCTCGCCAATTTCGACACGGGAACAGCGTCGCACTTGAGAGCCGGAATTCGTTGGATAGTGCATTCCTTATTTGTGTGTTTAGAGGACAGGGAATTTTTAAAGTTCATTAAATTGCATTGGATAAAATGCACTTTGCGTGCATTAAATTCGTTCAACTATTGAAAGACAGTGAGAAAAAAAAAACGCTTATCCGAACAAGCAAAGACACGTTCTGGCAACCTGGTTTCCCGCGAATCTTTGCCCTCCCCCTCCAATGACCACGTCGTCTTCTATTCCTCGAGTCATTAAGGGTCGTTAAATAAAAGTTACAATAAAGTGTATTTCTTTCTCTCTCTTTAAAAAGAAATCAAGTTTTTTTTTATTTTCAAAAAAACACGAAGGTGGCGATGACAGTGTCATGCGCTCGCTTTGAAATGATTTCTCCTTTCGCAATGTTATGAAGAACCTTGTGCTGCTCCTCTTATGTGTTTCACAAGGCAGTTTTTCCTTTTGTAGAAAAATGTCTTTTTTCCCGTAAATCGAGTTTTCAAATTGTCAACTTAAAAATTTATTCCCAGAACATAAACATAGAAAAAAAAAATCTGGTGCTAATAGTGTGTTAATAATGTAGCTAAAAAAAAGTCACCTGATATTGATTCTGCAAAAATTTTCATCTCGAAAAGTGTAAAGATAGGTTAAGTGTATTGTGATTTTCGTGTTTAATAAATGCAGATTTAGAAAACAAAAACTAGTCAACATGTGCGAGCAAACGGAAATCAATTACATGAACGATGACGTCGTCTGGGTTAAACTCGGAGGATGTTGGTGGCCAGGTCAAGTTGTTGGCTATGAAAATTTACCCGAAGATGTTCAGATTGAATACACAAAAAAGTCTCTGATTGCTGCTGTTAAATTTTTCCACGAAGATTGCTTGTAAGTTATTTCAATTGTTTTTTATTCATTGTTCCAAAGATGAAGAAAAAAATTAATTTTTGCATTTTCTTTACAAAACGAATGAATTTCTACTTATTTATTTTCTTTTTCAGTGAATACGTCAAGAATTATCAGCAAATTTATAAATATAATTGTACGCAAAAAGATGAATTCATTCGGAAAGGCCTAGGTATGTATTTAGATGAAAAATTTAGACTTGTAAATATGTATTTCAATTATGTGGAAATTAAATATTTAAAAAATTTTACTTTCACACAAAATTCCTTTATTAAACTGTAATCGTAAATTTTTGGCTAATAAAAATTAAACGAAAAAATATTTCTTTACAGCGAAAAATTTCATTTTGAGGTTAGGAGTAAAAAATTAGAAATTTCACAATTAACTAGTATATTTCTTAAATTATAAATTCAATGAATCTATAAATCTCTTATTTGTTAAATTGTGTTAATTTTATTTATTTACTAATTTGAATAGTTCTGTAATATTAATAAAATTTAAATTCAGAAATCTTTTATCTTCTTCTCACCTGTAATCTGTTGCCAGTTTGAAGTTAGTTGTTATTTCCTGTTTTGTTTCCTAATTTTTTAAATAATTTTTCGCTTTTAATGTTTTCAATTTTAAAATTAATGTAGGTATTGAGAAAATAATAATTGAATTCTTTCAAGAAATTTCATTAAAATTATATTGAAAATAATTGAATTCTTGAGAAGAATCTTATTATTTATGAAAATAATTCAAATCTTGCCAAGAATTTTATTAAAATTTTTGAAAAAAATTGAATTGTTTTGAACAATTTCTTTGCCATTTTTGAAAGCAATGGAATTTTTTAAAAATAATTTTAATTGAAAATTTTGAAAGTAATTGAATTTTATGCAAAATTTCTTTCAAGCTTTTAAAAATAATCCGGTTTGTCAATAATTGTCATTAATAATTTTATTAAAATTATTGAAAGAAAATTACATTCTTTTGAACCATTTTATTAAATAATTAAATTCTTTTAAAGAATTTCTTGAATTTTTTTTTGAAAATAATTCAATTTTCCAAAAAATTTCTTTCAACTTTTTAAAATAATCGTGTTTGTTAACAATTGTAAAATTAAAAATTTAATTACAGAATTTTGTGTCAAATTTTTGGAAATAATTTAATTTTTTTCAAAATTTTATTACAATTTTTGATAATAATTAAATTTATGCAATGAAATTTATTATTTATGAAATTAATTGAATTCTTTCGATAAATTTAAAAAAAAAATTTAAAATTGTACTGAAAATAATTGAATTCCTTGGAAGAATTATATTATTTAGAAAAATATTTTAATTCTTGTGGAGATTTTTACTATTTATAAAAATAATTAAACTGTTTCGAAGAATTTAAAAAAATGTTTAATTATTTATAAAAGTTTAATTTCTTGGAAGTTTTTTTAGTTTTTTTTAAGTTTTTTTTTTTTTTAGTTTTTAGTTTTTTAGTTTTTTTTTTTTTTTAGTTTTTTAGTTTTTTAATTGTTGTTTACGTAAACGAATCAAAAATCTAAATAGAAAATGTATTTTGATCAAATTTTGTATATTTTACTATTTTTTTCAATTTCAGACTTTACAACACTTCCGATAATTTACCATTTTTACTTTCTTTAAACATTTTCTTCTCCTAATTTTATCGTTGGAATAATTATTACTGTTTTTTGTAATTTTATCTAAAATGAAAAATCAAATTAAATTTTTCTTCTATTTTTTTCACTGCGTTGAAAATAATTAGAATTCTTGAAAATTTACTATGTATAATTAAAAATGAAAGAGCAAATTGTTTTTCATTTCGAAAATAAAAGAATTTGTATTTGAGATGAAAAAGATTTTTTCGCCTCTCAAGTTATGAACAATTGGAGTAATATTAATTTTTAATTTTGCAGACAAGTATCGAAGCAAATTAAAGGATGGTTCAAATTACATGAACAAATTTCCGGAGGATATTGAAACAGCGGAGAGAATAACGGGCGGCGATCCCGAAATAATATTTAGCGAGAAATTTACACCAGCGGAAAAGCCCGATATAGCGTCTCTATTTGGCGAAAAGAAAGTGCCGAAGAAAAAACGTGACGACCCGCAAAGAAGAAGTGAAGGTGCAACAATATCAAGAAAAGTGACTCATCCAAGATTTTTACGACAAAGTGATCATGAAATACGGATTCGTGAACAAATGGTTAATTCACCAAATGCCACAAGTTCAACATACTTTCCATGTTATCATTGCAATTTTAGTAGTACACGTGTTAACGTATTAATTGAACATTTAAGAAGCCAACAACACAATGATAATGTCGATAATTCTTCGACTAAGAAGAAAACACCCTCAAAACTTGTTTCGAAAGCGAAAAATAAGCATTTCGATAATAATGACACTCCAAAGAGGAAGTATGTGAAGAAGGAAAAATCGAGTGCCAGCAAAAGTAAATCTGAAACTGGTTCTGAACAAAAGAAACGAAAATTGAGTAAATCGCCAGAGAAAAGTGTTAAGAAGAAGAAATTGAATGCCCAGGAGGAGAGAAAACGGATACAAGACGAATTGTTGGAAGACTGGGTTGACGACTCAGATGTCGATATGAAAGCTGATTTAAATCAGGACGAATGTTTCGATTTTAATTCAACTTCCGATACAACGTGTCCGGATGTGTTTTCCGCGACGTGTTCACCAACGAAAACATCACCAATTAAAAGTGATTCCATAGTTGTCGAACGAGAATTAAACAAAGAAGAAAGTATCGAAACTAAAGACGATAAGAACGATAATGAAGATAAAGAAAAAGTAGATAAAGTAGATAAATGCGAAGACGATGCATTAGATTTACTTCAACAATCCGAGAAATTACTTCTTGAGACAAAAAAATTCCTTGACGATTCCAGTGGATCATCATCCAAAAGTCCAAAAAGACTAATTGACAAATTTAAATCAAAAGAAAAATTACTGGATACAAAAAATGAGAAGAAAATTCCCGACGATAATACCGATGATAAAAAATCACGTTTCGCTTGCTTTGAATTTGACGAAGATGACGTTCCCGAGACAACAACTGTTCAAAAGCCATCGAGGTTTTTTCTCAAGAAAGACATGATTAAAGAATACGAGAAAAGCGAAGCGATAAAAAACGAAAAGGAACGACATTCGGGAAAATTTTTTCATCGCGAAACAACAAGGAGCAATGAAGCCGAAGTTGACGTTGAAGTCGAGAAGAATAAATTTTTTAAAAGTAAACAAAAACCAGTGGAAATAAAGGACACCGAAAAAATTGAATTATCGAATCAAACTAATGATGTTGATACGTTTCGCGAGACGAGCGAAGACAATTTTTTAAAATCCGATAAAACACAAGTCGAGGAGCTCGAGATTGTCGAAATTTTCCAAGTCGAACGTGAAGAAGACGCCGATACAGCGAAGGAATCACAGGACAAATCCAATTACGAGAAAGTTTCTCAACAAATGTCTGAGAAATCTCCCAAGAAATTAGAAAAAGAAGAGGAAAAATTTCCCGAGGAGAAAATAATTGCCGAAGCGGAAGAAGAAGAAAAAGTGACGACAAATGAAAAATATTCAAACCAGAAAGAAAGTGAATTAAAACCGGAAAATTTAATAACACAGGAGGAAATAAATTTTCCTTTGGACAAAAAAATTGACGAACCAGGGGAAATTATTGACAACTCGCCAGAGGCAAAGACGGAAGTAATTTCCGAGCCGATGTCAATGAAAAAACGTCGTGGCAAAAATAAGAAGTTTCCATTATCCGAAACACCGCGTCGTTCGAGTGTCGAACAAAAAAGTCAACCCGAGGACAGTCAATCGGAAAGCGAACCTCTGGAACTAAAGCCCAAAGGTAAACGGGGCAGAAAACCGAAAGTGCAAAATTTATCTCAGAGCGAAGAGGTAAAAACACCAGTACCGGAAATTCACAGTCCCGTTGTTCACGTTCAAGAGGAGAAAATTCAAGAGATCGAAGCCGAAATTACAAATGACTCGAAACCAAAAAGGGGAAAAAAGTCAAGAAACCATAATCCGCCCTTTCAGGAGAAATTGATGAACGAATCGATGTCGAATCTCACCGAAGACAGTCAATCCGAATGTGAGGACAAGAGCATTGTTGAGAAAACCATCGAAGCGGAGAAAACAAAATCAAAACGTGGACGAAAATCAAAAAAATCACTTTCCACCCAAGAGAAGATAACCGATTTATTTGGACCCGAAGAAATTGCCCCAGAAACTGAAGAAAAAGATGTCAATGCGAAAGAATTTCCCGAAAATCCAGAAATTCCTCAGGAGGCTTCACCGCCGCCAACTGTTTCCGAATCAACGAGTGAAACAATCATCGAAGTTTCATTTCCAGTGGCAAAATTACCAGAAACGGAGGCAGAAATTTTCAGTAAAAACAACCAAGAAGCAACAAACGATTTTGAAAGTCGAATTCGAAGGAAAAAATCACCATTCGAAATTTCTGACATGGAAGTCGAAAATGTTTCAATTTCAACATCAACTGAAGTGGTGAAGAAATCCGAGAGGAAGGCAAAGTCCAACAAAAAATCAGAGGAGAATATCGAAAGTTTGGAAGGGAACAAGGAGAGTGGAACTGGAAGCGGCGCGGAAAAAGTAGAAAAGTTTCGCAAAACACGTAAAAGCGAAATTGGGGAAAACATTACGGAATTCATTGAGTCAGAAGAGTCAGTTGTCAGGTCTGAGACAATTGAACAATTACCCCCAGAGCAAAAGAAAATAGAGAAAAAATCCAAGGGAAGAAAAACATCCGAACAAACCAAAGAATCAACACCCGAATTAATCGTCGAATCAAAAAAGGAAAAAATGCCCAAGAGTAAAAACGAATTGGAAGAAGAGGATATTTTACCGGAGAAAAAAGCCCGAGGGAGAAAATCAACCACGGACTCAAAAATTACCGAAACTCCCGATGAGAAAATAGAACCAAAAAAAATTGAAAAACGCGGAAGACCCCGAAAGTCAACAATTGAAATTCCACCCATTCAAACTGAAACTAACGATGAAACCGAAAAATTGAATTCAGGAGAAATTCAAGTAACCGAACAACCTAAAGAAGAAATTTTGCCCGACAAGAAAAAAGTTGAGAAAAAATTGAAAGGAAAAAAGTCAATTCTCGACTCAGAATTGACCGAGAAACGAATTTCCGAATTCCCCCCAGAAATTCCGGTTTCAATTCCTCTCGAGGATTTACAACCAACCGAAAAGAAACCCGAGAAAAAAAGAGGTCGAAAATCAACAATTGAACTTGTTGAATTAGAGGCGAGAGCACAAATTAGTGAAAATTCCCCCGCCGAACCACTGGAGACGGCAGATTTGAAGAAAGCCGAAAAAAGGGGCAAACGAAGAAAATCAACTATTGAAAAAATCGAAACCCCCAAAGAAGAGGAAACATTACCAATCGAGCAAGAAATTGAAATTGAATCAAAACCCCGAAAACCGGGACGTCCGAGGAAAAAGTCAATCGAAGTCAGGGTGAAATCAGACAACGAGATGGAAATCGAGGAGGAAATTGAGCCAAAGGAAAGTGATGCCTTCAAAAGGAATGGTCGTCGAAAAAAGTCATCATCAATTTCGGAAATACCCCAAGAAATAGCAGAGAAGAAAGCGGAAAATGATAAGATTGATAATTCAGAGGGAAAATCACAAGAATTAGAGGCAATTTTAACCGAACCGAGCCAAGTTTTACCGGAGAAGGAAATAAAGAAACGAGGTCGTAGAAAAAAGTCCGAAACTGATTCCGAGCAGGTGAAAATTATTCCCACACCAAAAGGAAAGCCAGGACGAAAGAAAAAAATCGTCGAACCAGTAATTGAGGATTTTACCAACACTGGAGAAAAATTAGAAACGACTGATAATTCCGAGAAAGAAAGTAACGAAACGAGAGAAATTCCCGAAATTGAACAAGTTGAAGAAATTCCAGAAACTAAAAACATTGAAGAAATTCCTGAAATGAAAGAAATTCAAGAACAAGTTCCACATGTGGAATTTGGAGAAGATCTTCCAAATGTGGAAATTCGAGAAGAAGTTCCAAATGTGGAAATTGAAAATCAATTTCCAGTCGCAATGGATACATTTGCAACTACGGAAATAGTGGAAACAACCGAAATTGTGGAATCGACGGAAATTGTTGAATCAACGGAAAATGAAAAAACTCCCGAACCGACAATTCGAAGCGATTTCGTCGAAGCGCCAATTCACGAAACAGAAATCGAATCGACAGTGATTGATCAGCAGGCAGAATTTGTCGAGACTGAAGTTGTGGAAACGACAGAAGTAGTCGAGACAACGGAAATTGAAACAGATGTAATTGCAAATGAAGAAATTGCCACGAGTGAAGTAATTCCAACGCCGGAAGTTGTTGTCGAGACAACGGAAGTGGTCGAAACGACAGAAATTGTCGAAACACCGCCAGAAGAAAAAATCGAAACAAAGGCAGAAAATGTCGAAACAAAAGCACCAAATTCCCTTGCGAATAATGTCGAGACATTGCGAGTTTATTCCGAAATGCTGCCACCGAAGAAGTCGCAGATAAAGAAATTCGAATTGGAATCAAATTTAGAGACGGAGATTGAGAAGAAGGAGAAGACGATGGAGAGTGTGAAGAAATTGGACGATATCGGCAATATGGAACTGGAAATTCGTCTGCAGGGCCATGTGAATGATTCAAAACCACTGGAGGATGTTCTCACGGACGAGACGAAGGATGTCAACGTTTTCGATGCGTTGACCGACAACGTATCGGCGGCAGTCGTCGTCGAGACAATGCCCCAGGAAATCAATCAACTCTCCGGCATGTCGACCATGGATGGAAAGAGCGTCGACGATGAGACCCTGGAGAAAGAGGAGCAATACTCAATGATTGAGCGCACACTCGAGCAGATGGACTCCGTTTCCCCGAAGACGGTGCGCGAGGAAGTTCCCGTCAACAAGTCCCCGATGCAGACTCGCTACCAGGGTAAATTTACACCTGAAACCGGCTCCAGGAGTAAGAAGGACAAGGACATATTCACCTTGGATAAAAATACCACTTTTCAAGATGTGTTCATAAAGACCCTGCAGATTGAAAATGAAGACGAGGAGGCGGAAGTTCATCAGGGGCGAGCAAAGAAGGTCAAGAAGGGCAAGAAAAAAGTCAGCGAGATCGAGAAGACGAGAATTTCAAACTTGACTGAATCGATGGGTGATTTCTCCGGCGTCGAAGTTGTCGTCGGAGAGACATTGCAGGAGGAGAAGAACGACAATCTGACCAAAGAAGTGAAAAGTCTGGTGGAGGAAGTCTCGTCCCCATTGGCCGACACGGCAATGCCGGTGAAGAAACGCGAGAAACCGAGAATCATCGAGAACGTCGCCCTCAAGGAACCAATGATCCTCAAGTCGAAATTACTCGAGAAATTGCCCTCGAAACTCCTGAAGCACAAACTGGAGACCGAGAAAATCGGAACGCCGAGAGCAAAAATAATGAAACTAGAAGCCTCGCCCGGAAAACTACGAAAAACTTGTTTGAAAACGGAGGAAATTTTATCCCCCGTCATTCCCACCCAAACCGTCACGTCGCTATCAATTACCGAGAAATGCATTCAACAGAGTTCGCAAAGTCTCGAGGATATGGATCTCGACATCAGTAATATGCCAATAGTTCTCAGCGAAGACGTCCTCACGCCGGAGAGTATCGAAAACATGCCGATAGTAATATCCGGGATGATATCCTCCGAAGCCGATCATTCGACCGGACAAGTCAGCGTTTTGCCATCGCCCGACAATTTCCCCCCCGAAGCTTCGAGTTCCGATAACGATGTCACGATTCTCAAGAAAAAACTCGGAACTCCAACTATTTTGAAGAATAAAGTCAAGGGGAAGCCGACCATCACGAACATCACCACCATTGTTCCTCCCCTATCAATGGGGGTCAAGAACGTGAAATTCCAGAACGCCCAAACTGGCAAAACCACCCACTATCAAAAGGACACGCAGGAAAAGTACTTTATAGTCCACAGTAATCAGCAACGAGGCTACAAGGTCCAGACGAAGGCGGGTACGTCGCAGAAACTGGTGCTGCCAACGAGCAAGAGCCCCGAGAGTGTCCAGTACATCCAACAGGATCGCAAACTGATGATCATCCCCTCGTCGACCGTGGGGCAGAAGATCCTGCCTCTGAACGTTTCGAAAACCGGAAAAGTCCAGAGGATAATAAGCCAGAAGGGCGAGATAACCACTGTCCTGCCGTCGAATTACCAGAAGACGGTCATCACCCAAAGAACTGACGGAAACTCCCCAACGACCTCGAAGATAGTTCCGAAGATAATAAACCCAAGGGGGATAATCTCGCCCAAAGGCACCGTCACTCCGATAGGCACCGCTCTCCAAAAGTCCATCAACGTACGGCCGATGCTGAAAAACAGTTCCGGAATCACAACCAAGAACATTCTCTCCCTTCCGCAGACGATCGTGAGTCCGAAGGGCACCGTCCTGACCCCGATCACAGGCCAACAGGTGAAAGCCCTGGCCGCCAAGACACCTCAGAAGTTCTACCAAAAAGTCCCCTTGTCCCTAATTCAGAAGCCAAACAAAGACGATTCTCTGAAACTCTCCCCAGGGCAGATAATTTATCAGAAGAAGGGCGCGAAGCCCATTACGCACCAAAACCCCCCCGCGTTGGTCCCGACCGCCGAGTCCATGGTTCCCGCCAGGGGCAAGTTCATCTCGTCCAGTTCGCTACAGAAAACAGGCAAGATTCTCAAGAAGACGGGAGAGAGTCAAGTCGGCGAAAAGGCAAAAATGGCACAAAAGGCGCCGAAAGGGAAGGGACGAAAGAACATCCTGAGTGCCGCTCTGAGTTCGATTGCGATAACTGGACTTCCACCCCTCGAGCCCATACATCCCGAGAAGAAGGCGAAAATTGGGGAAATCGAAGAAGAGGGGAAAGCGAATCAATTTCAGAATCAACAGAGTCAACAGAGTGAACAGAACCAAGTGCAAAGTCTACAGACTCAACAGAGTGAGCAGAGTGTACAGAATCAACAGAGTGTACAGAGTCTACAGAGTCAACAGAGCCAACCGCAGATCATAGCGCTCCCCTTCGAGAATAGCGACGGCACGCTCCTGATGCTGATGACGACCGACGACAACAACGCCCTGATGTCCCTGGAAGGCACGCTGGACAACATCGTCCTGCAGTATGACAACGGCACCGTCTCCAGTCTCCAGACCCCCGCCGAGACGAGTCAGAACTACCAGAGTACGGACATCGTTCAGACCTCGAGTCAGGACATTCTGGCCGCGGCCCTGGCGAACAGCGACTTCCAGCCCGAAATGACCACGAGCAACGTCGGCTCCCTCACGCAGACGAGCCTCATCAACCAGACGATCCTCCAGTCCACGATCATCCCCCCGACTGAGCCAATAACCTCGGCCTCCGTTCTCGAAACGTCGCTCACTCTCAATCAACCGATAATGACGCCCCTCGAGGTGCCCAGCAACATTTCCCTCGCCGAGACGCCCTCGTACGTTGCCGGCCAAGTCCAGATACAAATCCCCGGGAATTCGATGCCGGACATTGGCGAAATGATGGACACGAGTGAGATACAGTACCAGGGCGTAGAGGAGTCTGTGTCCCTGCCGGAGGCGACGGCGCCGACGACGAGTGTGCAGACGACGCCCTCGATGCCGATAATCGACGACTATGTGGAGGATGTGCAGTTCAGTGAGAGCACGCCTGCGGAGAATTTCGCCGATGTTTCTGTTTCAGATCTACTGGTCTCGAAGACTGTGACGAGTGTCGAGAATCTACCGCCGGTCGACGTTGCTTCGGAAATTAGGCAGACTGTCGAGGAGGAGACGGTGATGGTACCCCAGGAGCAGGTGGTCGAGGAGTCGATCGAGGAGCATCAGTTCGCCGCCACTGAGGAAGTATCCAGCGAGGTTGAAATCAATTCGCAAATCGACTTTCAAATTTCGAGTCAAACGTGCCAGGAGGAAATTGTCACCCACGAGGAAAGCGGCGTCGTCGAGGATGCTTGCCACGGAATTCAAAATGATTTTTCCTCGAATCAACACGACGTCCAGGAGATCGAGACTTCCCAGGAAATCGAAACTGTCCAGGAGATCGAGACTTCCCAAGAGATTGAGACTTCTCAGGAGATCGAGACTTCTCAAGAGATCGAAACTTCCCAAGAGATTTCACAGGAGTTTTCACAGATTTCGGAGATTTCCCAGGAGGAAGTTTCGGAGATTTCAGAGATTTCGCGAGAAATTTCGGAAACTTCGCAGGAGATTTCAGAGACTTCGCAGGAAGAACAGAAAATCGAGGAAAACATTGCTGATGATGATCATCATCATCATCATCAGGTGCAAATATTCGACGAGGCGGAATCGTCATTTGCGAATGAGACTGAAATTAGTGTGGATGAGAAGGCGACAACGTCAACATCGGGATCGAATCGTTTGGATGATAATATGGAGATCGAGGAGGAGGTGCAGAGGGATCATTATATTATGGAGAGTTCGAGTATATCGCAAGCTGATGAATTGGCGTCGTCGCATGTTGAGGACGACCAGGCAATGCGGGACGACTCGAGAATCATATTTGAGGACACTGTTACCGACACTAGTCAAGAAGCGCCTTCGCAGTCTTATGGACAGTTTGATAGTTCGATGATCGGCGACAATGCAGAAGTGCCTAGTCAATCAGCCAAATCGGAGAATTCGAGGGAACCGTCGCAGTCGATCGAGTATGAGCCAATGGAAACTGATGAGACTGTTGTCTCTGGTGAGTATATGTGAAATGATAACTTTTTTCAAAAATTTTAATAGAAATGGGAAATTTAAAAGTTGTGTCTCTGAAAGAATTTCTTTTTTTTTTGTTTTAGTTAAATATTTAAAGTTTGTTCCTGTTATTTCATTTTATTCTATTTCATTGCATTGTCAGAGTTGCCACCGGTCAGGGAAAAGTCAGGGATTTTTATTCAAAGTACTGGAAAAAATTGAATTTTTATAATTCATGAGAAAACTCTGAATTTTTGTGTTTTTTTTTTTTTTTTTGACTCGTAAACTATGAAATTACCAAGAATTTTAATGCAAAACCTTCAATTTTTTCTATTTCTAACAATAATTTCTTTTTAAATAACTTAATTTTTCAAGAACTATCATTAAATTATGACTTATAAATTATTTAATGAATAATTTTTACAATTTTCATAATTACTAAATTGATAGAAGAATTTTAGTTAAAAATACTAAAAAAAAATAGATTAAAAAATTATATATTAATAATTTAAAAATAGATTCCAAAAATTTAATTGTTTTCAAAAGATATAAAATTTTTCGAAAAATATCAATTATTTAAAAAGATTTTTATAAAATTCGTCGCAAAAATTCAATTATTTAAAAAAAATTTAACAAAGTTCTTTACAAGAATTCAATTATTTTTATAAATAATAAAATTCTTCACCGAAATTCAATTATTTTAGAAAAATTTTAATAAAATTCATAGCAAAATTTTAATTATTTTCATAAATAATAAAACTCATCGCAGGATTTTAATTATTTTTGATACAATATTTTTAATCAAATTCCTCAAAAAATGTAATTATTCTTAAAAATTTTATTAAAATTTGTCAAAAGAATTCAATTATTTAAAAATTTGTTGATAAAATTCTTTATGAGAATTCCATTTTAAAAAACATTCAATTATTAAATAATTTTTTTTTTTCTAATAAAAATTGATTTAAAAATGAATTACCGAATAATCGATTTATTATTTATGAAAATAATTAAATTATTGCAAGGAACTTTATTACATTTTTTTTTTATATTTAAATTGTTTTGAGAAATTTTACTACTTGTAACAATAATTGAATTCTTGCGAAGAATTTTTTTTAGGATTTTTGTAAATAATTAACTTTTTTTTGAAAAATTTTATTGTAATTTAAATTATTTAAATATTTATTTAAATATTCTTATTAGTTGTTGAATTTCAAAAAGGTTTGAATTTAAATGTTTTGAAGAAGTTTATTTCCTACAGAAAAATAATAATGATTAAATATTTATTTAAAAAAGAAGTTATTGATGTTTTTAAATAACTTTACAATTAAAGAAATTTGTAAATAAATGAGATAGAAAATTTTTTTGTGTATCTAATAATTTTTGAAGTGAATCAGAATATTCTTTAAGGTCAGGGAAAGAGTGAAAATTTTGTCTGGAAATCAGGGAAAAGCCAGGGTAAAATTAAATTAAATATTTGTGGCAACCCTGATTGTATTTCATTTCATTTTATACCATTTTCTTTTATTTTACTAATTATTTTATTCTGGTAAATTTTTTATTCTGTTTAATAAAAATAATAGTTAATTTTCAAAATGAAATGAACTTTTCTAAAATAAAATTAAACGATTAAAATTGTTGTAAAAGAGATAATAATAAATTGAAAGAACTTTAATTTAGATAGAATTCACTTTAAATACGAATATTCTTTATTTTAATGAAATTTAATAAAATTTTAATAAAAAAAGTAGATTTAAATTCAAATAAATTATTACTTAATAAAATAGATTTTCAAAATAAAATGTTAAACTTGTAATTAATTTTAAATTATTTAGAATACAGGTAAACATTTATTTCTTATGGTGTTTTGTTTCTTTCACAATTGAAAAATCCCTTTTTCAAAATTAACACGTTAATTAGTTACTTTTTCCAAGAGGACAAAAAAGAATTCACTTTTGTATTTAATCGAACAAAAATCCCTGAATTTCAGAATTTCACCTGTAATTTAAATTACAGGTGAGCCTCCAACTCAATCGTTTGAAGATTCAACAACAAGTGAAGCGACACAATCCTACGCAACATTGCCCGATGTTGCGCCTGACGCACCAACTCAATCGTTCAACGAAATTGGAAATCAAAGCGAACGAATAATAAACCCCGACACCGACGATCAAAGCTTTCCCACTCAAAGTTATGAAGTCGAAAAAATAGTCGACAATCTGTCGGTGAATTTAGAGACAGATCCCGAAATAAGTCAAGAGGGTAATATTCCATCTCAATCGAACGATATTGGAAACGATGGCATTGGCACATCCTCCGTGTCAACGAATAATTCCAATCTCAATGAAGACGAGACGGCAAGTTCGTCGTACGTCCCCGAAACACCGGAAACCCAAGAGCGAGATCAAGATCAAGAGAGTGCAATAAGTACATCGTCGTACGAAATTCCACCCTGTGAGGAATTGAATATCGCGACATCGTCGATACCCGACACTTCGGAGCATTCCTCAATTCATGACAATGGAATTTTGGAGATTCCCACCTCGTCGTATAATTTGAATCCGGACAGTAGTTCATCGACTCACGTTGACTCGGTGCCGTCGTCGAGTTACGAGGATCAAGTGATACTCGAGCAGAATGTCTCGACGTCGTACGATGTGCCAATGGCGTCGTCGCAAAATTTCGTCACCGAAAGCACCGATCGTCGTAACGAACCGACGAGTTATTATCATCGAGAGGCGGCCGCGAGTTACTACGACGATCGCAACAATTCGATGTTGAATCAGGACCCGAGCTCACGATTGATTGACGATCCGCAACAGGAAGTGACTCCGAGTTACTACGGTAGACACCAGCTTCCACAACAGCAGCAGCAGCAGCAACACCATCACCAGCAGCACCACCAGGAGGCGAGTCAGAGTTATTTCCCCCCCGAGGGCGAAGCGACGCCCAGCTACGCCGGACACAATCAAGTGTCGTCGCCCGGATACTACGATCCACCGCCGGAGGGCGAGGCCAGTCAGAGTTACTATTCGACGCACGAGTCAGAGAGACAGGAACAATCTTCATCGTCGTCCTCGCAGAATATGGAAGCGTCACAGAGCTTCTACCAGGAGGACGAATTGAGACTGAGACAGAGAGGCGAGGCAACGCCGACCTATCCCGACCGCTATCCCATTGAATACGCAACGACCAATTCGCCCCTCGAGAGGCACGATTTGGTCGAGAGTTCAGTTCCCGCGACACGACCCACGGAAAGATAATACGATTTTTAAAAAATCGTCTCACAATTTTATTTTTTTCCCCTTTTATATAACAATTATGGACTTCCTCGCTGGTCGCCATTCATTAAATTCATTAAATCTACAAAAACAAAAAGAAACCTGTAAATAGTACTTTAAAGAAACTAAAATGCTAATTAAGAATTAAGTCTTACTTTATAATTTATATTACTATTCATTCAGTGTGAATGGTTTCGACACGGATCTGATCCGTATTCTTCAAAACTCAACGTTTGATTTTCTTTTAATATCACCAAGTTGAATTTTATTATATATAATAATATATATATATCGGAAAATTATCATTTTTAACAGAAATCCAAGAGTTGAGTTTTCGAAAAATTAGATTGATTTCGAGGTTTAAAAATCAACCATCGAGTTTTGAAGAATTCTTCATTTTCTCAAAATTGAATAAATTGAATAAATTGAAGAACTGTGGTTTTTGTTGTGGTATATATATAATGTTATAGATCGATATTGTTTCATTGCTTTAGTGATAAGTTTTGTTGCTTTTCAAAAAGACTTTTTGCCCCCCCTCTTCGAAAAAAAACTTTAAGGGGGAAGAAACAAAAAAGTGGGAAATCAATTTTTTGTCAATGCATCGAGAGAAAGGAAGAAAATAAATTTTGTGAAAAAAAAACTTATCGGAGCAGGAGACAATATTTTTACAAGCGTTTCTTTACGTCTCTACAACTATTCTAATTACCGATTCGAAGAAGAAAAAAAGTAATTGTTAATCGCGTTGACAAGAGGAAATAACGAAAGTTCCAATCTTTCGTTTCTTTTCTAAACGTTCCTAAAAATGCGAATTTCCAGTGGCAATTTCAATAGTCCCCAAAAAATGTAAATTTTCCAAACTAAAAATACTTTTCTTGTTTCAAAAAGAAAAAAGCAAATTCAGATTTTTATAATTCAATTTAAACTCTCATTCTTTTTGTAAAAAAAAAAAAAAAGTATTTTTAGTTTAAAAATTACCCTCATTTGGTGTCCAAAACAATTCTCCCATTTTTTTCACTTCAAACGAAAAAATAAGATTTTTGTAATATTACGAAAAAAAAAATGGGCAACTTTGATCGTTAAGGTTTAATGTTTACTTTGTAGGAATTAGTATAAATCACTACGAACATAAAAAGCCTATTATTTCAACTATACCACTGTAATCTGAGTGTTACAAAAAAAATAATCGTAAGATGAAAAAAGCAAAAAAAAAAAAAATACAAAATCATACGAAAAATCATGGGAAAATGCATTTTGCTTGACACACACCCACACACAAAGAAAAAAGATTTTTTGTACATAAAAAATGTACTCGTGATAGAATATTTGTAGAATTGAAAGAGAAATGATGAAAAAAAAGTAATTAGTAATTAGGAACCGAACCGAAACAAGAAAAAGAAAAAAAAAGTTCGGATGTATTTATATTATTAATTTTTTATATAATATAATAAACGAAAATGTTAAGGTGTAATTAAGATTTCAAGAAACATAAAAATAAAGATAAAATATATCCTATATTCTGATTGTAATATTATATTCTACATAATTTTTATTATTATTATTATTGTTATTATAAAAAAAAATGGGGAAAATAAATATAGATTCTTCGTCATCGGCAAAATAAAAATGGCATTCTTTATTCTATTTGTCGTGTAAAAATTTTGTTTTGTAAATTTTTACATGACTCTCGCTCTTTCTCTCTCTATATTTCGCTATTTCTCTCCTTATCGATGTCAAGCAATAAGCATTTTTTACTAATTTTCTATGATAATAATTATATTCTTTATAGTCTCACGTTATTCAAAACACATATGTTTTTATTTCTCGTGGCAATTTTAAACGCGGTCACGTATGTATATATTACCTATGTTGATACCAGGATTAATAAAGAATTATAAATCACATTTAATTGTTGTACTTTGTATTCTTAATGTCGTTGAGAGAAAAGGGGTTTTTTTTAAAAATAATATTGCGGAAAAAAAATTATTTTTTTCTATTATACTTATCAGACATTTAGTTATGAACTTCTTGTTTTAAAAAAATTGAATTTTTCTCAAGATTTTCATTATTTATATGAAAGTTATTGAATTTCGGAGAAGAATTATATTAATTTATAAAAATAATTGAATTTTAAAGATGAATTTTATTATTAATGGAAATAATTGAATTTTATTTAAATTGTATTGAAAATAATTCAATTCTTATAAAGAATTTTATTGAAATTTTGAAAATAATTGATTTTGGAGTAAGAATTTTCTGAGGAAAGATTTTATTAAAATTAAATCGAAAATAATTGAATTTCTACGAAGAATTTTGTTAAACATTAAATAATAAATAATAAACAATAATAAGTAATTAGCAAAAAAAAAAAATAATAAGTAATTAGCTAGTAAGTAAATTACCGTTTCAGGAGATTTAAAAGAAGTGCGACAATTTTCTTTTTTACGAAACATTTTATTGAAAACAATTTTTTTATAAACAATAAATTACACTATTTACAATTGTTCTTTTTTTCATGCGCTCACTTGCATTATTTATAATGGTTAGTATAAAAAATTCGATTCGCACGAAATTTATTAACAATAACTTTAAAAAGAAGAAGAAAAAATGTCTTTTTGATTTCTTTTTCTTTTGCTGTTTTTATTTACGCCAGTATTGTGCAAACTTGTGGAATTGTTCAACAAGCGCTGCCATAACGGCAGTGACGGAAAATTCCAGTTGATTTTGTACATAATGTACAGCTTCCTCATCGCTAAGATCAAGTCTCAATTTGTCTTGAACTTTCTTCACGGCTTTATCGGGTTCTAAGGCAATATCCGGTACACTTGCATCGACCATCAAGGAAAATAAGTTCAATATAAGATTCGCGTGTCTTCGTAAATGTAAAAATGCAGTGTAACATTGTTTTCGAAATTCACTGTAATGATCGGAATTAACGCCACCCATTGCCTCAACCATTTCTTTACTTAATTTCATTGGCGGGGGAAATGGTTTTGGATCTCTGCCTAAAATATAGCCGAAGTCAATGTGGAATAGTTTACCTGGAAAAATAATTTACATCTTAAACAAATGAGTAAATTATTTCCTAAGTATTTTTATTTTTTTCATCACTTTCCAACTGGAATTCTTGAGATTTAAATTTACCTGAAGTTGTTAGAAGTAAATTGTCCAAGTGCCTATCACCGACTCCCAACACGTACGTTATTATACAATATCCAGCTGGAAATTTACAAATAAAATTATTTCAACAAAAATTTTATTTTCTTTTCCCCAGACTTTTCAATTTTAGTAACTCAAACAAAATAATAAATTCAATTCTTATAAAGAATTTTAATTCAATTTTTGAAAAAGTTTTTCAATGTTTTAGAGAGAAATGTTATTAAAATTATCTTTAAAATAATTAAATTAAATTCCAATGTTTTATGAATATCTCAAGAGAATAAGATTCCATACACCTTTTTTTAAGATTAAAAATATAAAAAATGTAGATAAATTTTTAATATTGGAGTAAATAAATTCTTTTGGTTGAAAATAGATGAAGGAAAAATAAATGAGCTTACCACAGCTTCTCACATATGTGTCCATTACTTCAGAAGCAACTCCATAAGGCCCAGTTTCAGAGGGATGATGTTTTCTAAAGAAGCTCAATATCGAACCCTCACTTGCCAATACTTCAGCGACAGTCGTCGACTCAATGAATTGCACGAATCCATGTCTTGTGCTCGTCGCTAAAACTCTAAAAATTCCATTATTAATAATTATTCTCTCTCCTCTCCTCTCCTCTCCTCTCCTCTCCTCTCCTCTCCTCTCCTCTCCTCTCCTCTCATCTATCTCTATTTTATTTTTTCCTCCATTCTTTTCTATCAAATTATCCAAAACTTGGACAAACTTCTTTATTTATTCAATAAAAGACTTTTTCAATTTAACAGGATTGCCACGCAACCTGGAAAACCTGGAAATGTCAGGAAATTTTTTAAACCTAGAAATCGAATTTTACTTAAATATTTCAAAATTAATTCAATTTTAAAAGAGTTGCGTTTACAATTTTCATAAATAGAAAAACTTTAAAAGGTTTTAATTTGAAATTTTAAAAAATTTCAATTTTCAATGAATTAATTAAATACTAAAAATTTCACAGCAATTCTATTATTTACAAATTTTTTTTATAAATTCCTTCGCAATAATTCAATTATTTTCATGAAGAATAATATTTTTTACCAGAAATTCAATTATTTTCAATTATTTTCATAAATAATAAAAATCATCGCAGAATTTCAATTATTTTGAATACAATTTTAATGGAATTTCTCGAAAAATGTAATTATTCTTAAAAATTTTATTGTAATTCATCAAAAAAAAAAAAATTCAATTATTTTAAAAAGCCTTCCTATAATTTATGTATTATTTTCAAAAATTTTAATCAAATTCTTTTAACAATTCAATTTTTTTTCAAAATAATTTTAATAAAATTCTTCATAGAATTAAATTAATTTCAATAATTTATCAAAATTCAATTATTTTTAATATCTACGTATTTCAATAAAATTTCGTAAAAGAATTTAATTATTTAAAAAGCAATATATCATTAAAATTCGTCTCAACAATTCAATTATTTTCAAAAGTAATAAAATTCTCCACAGAAATTCAATTATGGTCAAAATTTAAAAAAAAATTCTCGTCAAAATTTCAATTATCTTTATAAATAATAAAATTATTCTTCAAAATTCAATAATTATTTTGAAAAAATTTAATAAAATTCTTGGCAAAATTTCAATTATTTTCAAAAACTTTTCTCAATTCAATCAAATTTTTTTTACAGAGATTCAATTATATTTTTAATGCAATTTTAATCTAATTCCTCGAAAATGGAAATTATTCTAAAAAATTTTATTAAAATTCGTCAAAAGAATTTTAATTATTTAAAAATTTGTTGATAAATTCAAAAGCAAAAAGTCAGTCACTAATTCGAAAATAGTAAACATTTTTACTAATTCAAATTTAGAGAGAAAGTATTATAGCGTGAATTTTTAGAAATAATTGAATTTTGAAAAGGTTTCAAATTATAATCTTTCAAAGTTTAAATTTTTCATACTTTTAACTGAAAATTGTGTAGATTTAATTTTTTTTAAAGTTTAATGCAACATTTTTGAAATTATTTCAAGTTTTTATTTTCTAATATATATTTAATTGAAGAATTTCCGAATAATCGATGAAATTTCGTAAAATTGAATTGTAAAGAAAAGAACTTGAAAATTTTCAAAGAAATTTTTCAAAAATTATTAAAAATGAATGAATAATTAATTTAAAGAATAATTTTAATTAAAAATTCTAGAAAATAATTGAATTGAAATGAGAATAATTTTGATGAAGTTACAGTAAGAATATTCTTATAAAATATAAAATAATGATTTTATCAGTCGGCATCTTTAATTATTTATTATAAAACATGAAGACATCGATTGCTCCGAGTCGAAGACTCGGAGTGATCGATATCTTCATGTTTTATAACAATTTTTTGAAAATTGTTTAATTTGAATTTGAATCTTTTGAAGAATTTTAATTCTTATGGAAAAATAATAATGATTTAATATTTATTCAATAAAGAAGCAAAGGAACATTTTTCTGAGTAATAATTTTGAAACTGATTGAGAATATTCTTTAGAGTCAAGAAGTAAGAATTTTGTCTTGAATTTAATTTTGTCAGGGAAAAAGAAAATTAAATGTTTGTTGGGAACAAATGTAGTTTTAAAAACCTGGAAAAATTCCTTTTTTTAACCTGGAAAACCTGGAAAAAAGTCAGGGAATTTGAAATGAGCAAAAGCGTGGCAACCCTGTTTAAAACTGGAAATCTCAAATTTCTCTTTTTAATTTCTTTCTAGAAAACAATTACCAAATTGATTATTTTTTCACTAACCTGTACGGAGTTAGTTTCAAGTCTAAATTCTCTCTTCTCAACAGTTTATCCATTAAGGCTATTGTTTGCAAAATAAGTTGATCCTGTCGTAGATCGTCTCCGTGCTTGAAAATTGCAATATATTCGCTGTTATCCGTCGTGAGGAAAGTTAATTTCGACGGCATTAGGGCCGATTTAAAAAGACTTGCCCTTGAAAAGAAAAGAAAATTAAAATTAAAATAAAAACACAAAAAATGAAATACCACAATTAAAAATTACTCACTTTTCCGGAATAATTCCTTTTATACAAATCTCCGGATCCAATGGAAATGGAATTGGTTCGAAATTGGAGAAATTAATCTTAAAAGCCGGATCGGGATCGGCGAGTAGTGCCTTGAGTCGATCGGTCTTACGCTTACGATTACCACTCTCGCGTGCAACATTCTTAACAAGCGATACCAATTGATCGATGAAAATTTTTTGCCGCTTCAAAAATGCCCGTCGCTTTTGCCAAATTGCATTTCCCCTTGCAAGTGCATTCGAGAACATTGTCATTACTGTTAAATACATTTCGCGAACACGCGTATCCTGTTTGACAGTTATTGCCGGATCTGGTTGCTCCTCACATTCTATCGACAAATACCAGTAGAAATAATTTGCCAACATTGAATTTTGGCAGGCTCGAGTTATCAGAAATGATGCCAAATCCATTGGCTGCTCCTGATTCGATGACAACTGCGATTCTGTCGACTGAAATTCAGTGGAAAATAATTTAATTATTGCGAAGAAATGGAATATTTATTTTTTTTTACTTTTGATAAAAAGAAAATTATGAGTAGAAGAAAAAAAAATGCTCACTGTCGTTATTTGTGTCGTGTGAGACGATGTCTGATCTTTGTCGAATTTCTCATTCTTCTCAATGTCCTTGTCTGTAACTAGATTCTCACTTGCGGCCTTAATACTCTCGAAATCCTCGTATTTCAATGCCTGCACTAGTTGAAGTAAATAGAGCATAAGATCATCGTCGGGTGCATGATTTAATCGACCTATCGCGTATCTTCTGACAGCGGGATAGGTAAAAGCTGGTCCAAGAAGTTCCAAAGCATCCTCTGGATCTGGTGGCGCCCACAATGAAAGCATCTCCAGTGCCTGACGTTCCTCGCCAGCGACTTTCCAATTTACACATTTCACAAATTTTGTCAATGCCTTCTTTTGCGTCGACAAATAAAAACGAAATTTCCATATTAAATCTTGTTCCTCCGTTGATAGTGTCTTTGTCGGCGGATAAGATAATATTGTGTTCAATGCATCGCGCACATTTGACGTTGGTTTTAATTCTCTCGTATTCCCACCACTACGCAAACTGCGTGCCAATTTATGATGTTTTGCCTCCACCAGATTTTCCTTTAAAAAAAGCAAAAAATTTAAATAAATAGAATATTTAATGATACAAATAGTTGCTCACATTTTTTAAATTGTTTTTTTTTTTCAATTAAAAAAAACAATTTACAAATTTTTTTCATCCAGAAAAATATTTTCCTATTTTTTTCAAATCTTTCCTAGTTGGAATTTTTTTTTTCGTTTTTTAAAATAAGTAGAAATTTAGAGAGAATTTGAATTTTACGAGAGGGCTTGTCCGGTTTATTTTTTGTAAATAAATAAAAGAAAATAACAAAAAATTACCTGACTGGAATTATTACATCGGTACACATAATAAAATTCTTTCACTTTATCTTTTGGTGAATCTTTGAAAATTGTTTTCACGAATATGACAATTCTTCGCGCAATGTTAGACAGCAATGTTTGCATATTAGTCAACCATTTAAACATCTTACTTTTACTTAAAAGCAAGTACGGCTTCAGATTAGCTTATAGGTCGCAGTCTATTTTCTTACAAATTGCTACGTGTCTTTATCTCTCTCGGCTATATACCTTATCATTTAAACGAATGTCAGCATTTATTTTTCTTTCTTTGTTTTTCAATTCATATTTCTTTAAATTCTATTTTTCCTTTTTCTTTTTCAAATAGAGAAAAATAACAAAAAAGCCAAACAAGAAAACTTTTTTTTATATGTAATAATGAACAATTTTGTAAGTTTCTTTTTCTTATATAATACATTTTTTAATTTTTAATTTTTTTCCTCTGGAAAGAAATTCTTTTTTGTCTTTTTCATCAAATTCTATTTTAATTCAATTTAATTTGAGAAATTACTTACTTGTAATATTTCATAATCTGGCAATGTAACGACGTCTGGTTGCGATCTATGTTGAACCACTTCATCACCATCTTTCTCATAATAGACAATTGAATACTGTTGAGAAAATTAATAGTGAAAATTAATATTGAAAATTGAAAAAGAAAATAAATATCGGAAGTTAATATAAAAAATTAATATCGAAAATTTAATTAGAATATTAATACAAAAAATTACTATTGGCAATTAATAGAAAAATTTAATTAAAATTGATTCAAATTTAAATTTTCCTCTAAATATAATAAATTAATAAACAATAAAATTTTCTCCTGAAAATAAATTCAGAGAGGGAAGGAGAAATTTTACCGTAACACCATCCATCGTAACTTCGGGAAATTCGACCATTAGATATAAATATTCGGAGGCGCGTTTTTCGCGTTCATTTATCAATTCAATTTCACGGAATGTTAAACGATCGAGCCAATCGATTTTACTCATTTGTCCATTGCGATGTTTCTTGGCGAGTTTCGCTAAACGTTGCATTTGCTCTTTACCATGATCACGAGCTTTGCCAGGCGTTGCCGTTAAATCGCAACCATTCGCCTCAATTCCAGGCCAAACTTTTAAATCCAACATGCCCTGACGAAAAACTCCATGTTTACCGAACAGAGAAATTGTCGTTCCACCAACTGGTATTTGTTGACCTGGACCAGCGCAATCATACAATGTTATACATAATTGAGCGTCTCGCGGTAAATCTGAATATGATATTGGCAATGTCACCCACTGGTTCCAACTGGAAATTTAAATTAATAATAAATTAATGAGAGACACTTTTTCGTTCAAAAAAAAAACCTTTCCCTAATCAAGTCAATAAAAAAATAAATTAATTGATTAAAAAATAATATTTACTTTGAGAATTTTCAAATAGGTACATTTGTTTACAATTCAATTTTACGACATTTCCATTATTTGGAAATTCTTCAATTAAACATATATTAGAAAATAAAAACTTTAAATAATTTCAAAAAAAAAATTCAATTAAACTTTTTCCAACAAATTACTTCTGCAGAATTGTTAAATTAAAATTTTCAGAGATTTCAATTTGAAACCTTTTCAACCTTTTTTTTTTACTTATTTCAAATTCCCTAACTTTTCCAGGTTAAAAAACGGAATTTTTCCAGGTTTTTAAAACTACATTTGTTGCCAACAAACATTTAATTTTCTTTTTCCCTGACAAAATTAAATTCCAGACAAAATTCTTACTTCTTGACTCTAAAGAATATTCTCAATCAGTTTCAAAATTATTACTCAGAAAAATGTTCCTTTGCTTCTTTTTTGAATAAATATTAATTCATTATTATTTTTCCATAAGAATTAACATTTTCAAAAATTTCAAATTCAAATTAAACAATTTTCAAAAAATTGTTATAAAACATAAAGATATCGATCACTCCGAGTCTTCGACTCGGAGCAATCGATATCTTTATGTTTTATAATAAATAATTAAAGATGACCGACTGATAAAATTATTGTTTTATATTTTATAAGAATATTCTTACTGTAACTTTGTCAAAATTATTCTCATTTCAATTCAATTATTTTCTACAATTTTTAATTAAAATTATTCTTTAAATTAATTATTCATTCATTTTTAAGAATTTTTGAAAAATTTACTTTGAAAATTTTCAAGTTCTTTTCTTTACAATTCCATTTGTACGAAATTTCACCGATTATTCGGAAATTCTTCAATTAAATATATATATTAGTAAATAAAAACTTGAAATAATTTCAAAAAAGTTGCATTAAACTTTAGAAAAAATTAAATCTACACAATTTTCAGTTAAAAGTATGAAAAATTCAAACTTTCAAAGATTATAATTATTGAAACCTTTTCATAATTCAATTATTTCTAAGAATTCACGCTATAATACTTTCTCTTTAAATTTGAATTAGTAAAAATGTTTACTATTTTCGAATTAGTGACTGACTTTTTGCTTTTGAATTTATCAACAAATGTTTAAATAATTAAAATTCTTTTGACGAATTTTAATAAAATTTTTCAGAATAATTTCCATTTTCGAGAAATTAGATTAAAATTACATTAAAAATATAATCGAATCTCTGTAAAAAAAATTTGATTGAATTGAGAAAAGTTTTTGAAAATAATTGAAATTTTGCCAAGAATTTTATTAAATTTTTTCAAAATAATTATCGAATTTTGAAGAATAATTTTATTATTTATTTATAAAGATAATTGAAATTTTGACGAGAATTTTTTTTTAAATTGTTGACCATAATTGAATTTTTCTGAAGAATTTTATTACTTTTGAAAATAAATGAATTCTTGAGACGAATTTGAATGATTTATTGCTTTTTAAATAATTGAATTCATTTATAAAATTTTATTGAAATACGTAGATATTAAAAATAATTGAATTTTGATAAATTATTGAAATTAATTTAATTCTACGAAGAATTTTATTAAAATTATTTTGAAAAAAAATTGAATTGTTAAAAAGAATTTCATTAAAATTTTTGAAAATAATACATAATTTATAGGAAGGCTTTTTAAAATAATTGAATTTTTTTTTTGATGAATTATTATAAAATTTTTAAGAATAATTACATTTTTCGAGAAATTCTATTAAAATTGTATTAAAAATAATTAAAATTCTGCGATGATTTTTATTATTTATGAAAATAATTGAATTTTTGGTAAAAAATATAATTCTTCATGAAAAAAATTGAATTACTGCGAAGAAATTTATAAAAAAAATTTGTAGATAATAGAATTCCTGGCAAATTTTTAGTATTTAATTAATTCATTGAAAATTGAAATTTTCTAAAATTTCAAATTAAAACCTTTTGAAGTTCACCTATTTATGAAAATTGTAAACGCAGCTCTTTGAAAATTGAATTAATTGTGAAATATTTAAGTGAAATTAGATTTCAAGAATAAGCACAATAACTTTAGAAAACAATAATTTTTCAGGATTTCGATCAAAGTTTCCTGACTTTTCCAGGTTCTTTCTAAAAATTCACGCTATAATGCTTTTAATATTCAACTATTATCAAAAATTCATTTTAAAATCAATTTTTATTAGAAAATTCAATTATTTAAATACAAAAGTAAATGATTTTTTTAATAATTGAATGTTTCTCAAAATTGAATTCTCATACAGAATTTTATCAACAAATATTTAAATAATGGAATTGTTTTGTCGAATTTTAATAAAAAAACTTTTAAGAATAAATACATTTTTCGAGGAATTCGATTAAAATTGTATTGAAAATAATTCCAATTCTTCAATGAGTTTTATTTTTTATGAAAATAATTAAATATGTGCGTAGAATTTTCTTAAATTTTTTTTTAAATAATCGAATTCTTTTGAAAATTTTTTGAAAATAATTGAATTTCTGCAATTGATTGTAACTTCTCCAAAATTCAATTTTTTTTAGTATTTTGAATTAAAATTCTTCTATAAATCCATTATTTTTAATGGTTAATTAAATATATTAAAAATGTAACTAATTTGAAAAGAATATATGAATTATTAAAATTTTTAATTAAATTCATTAAAAATTGAAATTGACACAAAAATTGAGAATTTTCTTATGAATTCTAAAATTTAAATTTTTTCCAGTACTTTTAATAAAAATCCCAATTTTTTTTTCTGACCTGTGGCAACTCTGTTTTAAATGTCCTTTGAAAAAAATCGTCCAAGCCTGTTTTATCTAAATTGTTTGAATTTAAGCAAAGCTTTTAATTCTGAAGACCGTTAATTTTTTGTCTAAATAGATATTAAATAATTGTAAACAAATAAAATATGAATAAAATTTCGTAAAATCTTTATCTAGTCATTCCCCTTTTTTAGGATTTATAAAATTTGCTCTTACTTCCATCGAGATGTAAAATGTTTATAGGCCGTGTGAACAGGTAAGGCGAGAGCTCTTCCGCCAGCCCAAACTTGTAATGAGGCTGCTAAATCACCTTTACCACCGCTTGCTCCATATAAACCTGAATATTTTAGCATTGGATCTTGCAATAATTTGTCATATTCGGGTCGTTGCCTCTTTCCCTCGAGTGTTCCTCTATAAAAAGAAGATCGAAAATATGTTAATTAATTTTTAAACACTAATTTATCCTTTCTCTCTCTCTCTAAAAAAACACTTGCTCTATTAATTAAAAAACAGATAGTAATAATAAATACACTTTCTCTTTTATTAAATATTTAATTTTTTATTACTTTATTCACTAATAATAATAATTAAATAATTAACTATTTTAATTTTTATTATTTCGACTATTTCACTGTTTATTATTTCGACTGTTGTAATTTTTACTATTTCGATTGTTTTAATTTTTACTATTTCGACTAAATTCTAATTTTAATAATGTTAATATTCTTTTAATTTTAATTACTTTAATTAATATTTTGAAAAAAAAATTGCGCTCTGGGAGAGAAAAAAAAGCAAATAAAAGGGGAAAAAACATAATTTATTACGCAACGTTGAGAAGAAAATTCTCGGTTCAAGAAACTAATTAAATATTACAGCCAAACACAAATATCCTTGTATCATTTGTTTTTACTAAAAAACTAATTTTCAACACAACTGTATGGAAATCTTTTCCAAAGAGGATTATCATGAATCTAAAAATATCACTTACATTTTTATTTGTATTCTTGTCTCGAGAGATGAACTGTATACGTAAAAGAATTTATCGTTCACGTCTTCCATTGTTCGCCTCCTAATAAATGATTCTGGCAAATTTCAACTGCAAGCATATCTATTTTATCACCACAAAAAGATAATTAAACTCGAGTTCTTAATTATTTTGTGAATACATTTGTTTTGAATACATTTTACGTCCCAATCTCACTACGTCACTGCAAAAAAAAATTAATAATATCAACTTTCCTCCTTTATTCTTTTTTATTTATATATAGGTATAAATGATTATTATCTTTTCTATTCTTATAGTTCATTCAATATGTTATTTTGACTATTGTTTTCTATACTATAAAAATTATGTTAATCTAATTTATAGTTGTAGAATTATTGGGGAATGCACGAATTGATGATATGGGATAAAACGTACCATATTGCTGGGAAATGAGTGTATTTATTTGAAAAATTAAGACAGATTTAAAGAAATATTTTTAATATTTTTGAAGGTTAAAAAGTTGATTGTTATGATTGTTATGATGATGCTAGCCCAGCATAAGGGCTGATAAGGGCAGTCATCTACGTCACGAATGTCAGTGCGGGGAATGTAGAATATTGTTACTTAAGGTGCGTTCAGACCTCTCTGCGACTAAGCTGCGACTCTGCCTGGACAAGAGAAGCGACAAGTTCTATGAATTCGCCTTCTCGTTCTCGGAATTAAAAGGCTCATAACCTAAAATTTCCCCGCAAGTAAAGTTCTTCATGTGCGGTAAACATGTGTTTATAAAATTATAAAACTACAATCTGTAGATTGTAAAATTAATATTTGACTTGATAAATTAATAGTAAAAAATTTATTCATTTAAGAAGAAGAAAAAAAAATTTATTAGAAAGGAATCAAGTAACTTTAATTGGATACAAAAATGGGGAAGTTAAATGTAACAATGTTGAGATATTTAAACAAAGATGACTTTCGTGTTCTAACAGCGGTAAGTAATTAAAAAGTTTGTCATTATTTTACATTGTAGTATATTGTTAACTTTTTTTTTTTATTCTTGTAGATTGAAATGGGAATGAAAAATCACGAATTAGTGCCAGCTTCACTAGCCGCACAAATTGCAAATTTACGTCATGGCGGTGTACACAAACTTTTGCAAGAACTTTGCAAACATCGTTTATTAAGTTATGAACGTGGAAAACACTGTAAGTGTTAAATAATATAATTCTCGCTAAAAGCAAGCGAGTGTTTAAACTCGATTGTTTTAGCGAGAAAATAAAAATAAACCAACAAAGAAACATAGGGTAGTTGCACCAGTGAAAGAATTGACACCAGTAAAAGAACAAATTGATTATTTATTACGATATTTTACAAATTATAACTTTTAGCACTAAAAAAAAATTATTTTTTAGTTCCTTATTTCTTCAAAATATAGTTTATGATAAAAAAATAGATTCAATATGCAATTTATTTCTGAAAATAATTTTTTAATGTTTTGGTGGGTTATGAACATGCCAAATGAATGAAGCATAAACAGAAAAAAAGGTTACAAGATTCAGGTGCAATTAAATTATATTTCTGGTTGCGTAATTAGGAAAATATTAATAATAGTAAGTTGCAAAATTGTTTCAGAATATTTGTAGCGCTTTTCATATAATTTTTGTTATTTTTAGACACTGTATTAATATAAATTTGATTTGTTCTTTCACTGGAAAATACAACTGTTCTTTTACTGATCAACATTCTTTCACTGGTAAAATGGACATTTTTAAAAATAAAAAATATCGAAAGTATACATTTCCTTAAATGTTCTTTCACTGGTGTCACTATCCTATAAGAATGTTGACACACATAAAAAATGACAACAGACATTAATGAAAAAAAAAAATTTGTATAAATTTATAGAAAATTAAACTCTACGCAAGAAAATATTATAATTCAACTCCATTTAATTCAAAATTAAATAATTATGTTGAATTAAATGGCGTAGAATTTTATTAGAATTTTCTAAAATAATTTAATTCATTCAAGGAATTTTGCTAAAATATAGAAAATAATATTAAGTCTTTTCGAAATCTTTGTCTGAATATTTTAAAGAAGCATATTTTTTATTCTTCCAGATGACGGTTATCGTTTAACGAACGCTGGCTACGATTATCTGGCATTAAAAGTTCTCGCTGCACGCGGTATCGTTGCATCTTTCGGCAGTCAAATCGGCGTCGGAAAGGAATCAAATATTTACGTTGTTGCCAATGACGATGGCACACCTTTAGTGTTAAAATTACATCGTCTTGGTAGAACATGCTTTCGAAATATTAAGGGTAAACGCGATTATTTCCAACACAGACGATCGTCATCTTGGCTCTATCTTTCTCGAATATCGGCGACCAGAGAATTCGCCTACATGAAGGCTTTGGAGGAAAGAGGTTTTCCAGTTGCAAAACCAATAGATTTTAATAGACATTGCGTTATTATGGAGTTGGTCGATGGTGGACCACTGTAAGTAACTTTTGCACAACTTGTTAATTAGTAATTTAGTAATTTTTTATTTGCATCATTGCAGGTGTAATGTACATGAAGTGGAAGATGTTGAGGGTCTGTATGACGATCTAATGAATTTGATTGTAAGACTCGGAAATTATGGTGTGATTCACGGTGATTTTAATGAGTTTAACATTATGATAACAAATGAAGGAAAGCCAATTGTTATCGATTTTCCGCAAATGGTTTCTACTGAGCATCTTAATGCTGAACTTTATTTCGATCGAGATGTTACTTGTATAAGGGATTTTTTTAAAAGAAGATTCGGCTATGAGAGTGAAATGTTCCCCACCTTTAAAGATCTTAGGTAAGTTTTTTGAAACTCGAACTCTGCCAACTAATAAATAAACCATTAACTTTAAACTATAAAATAACTTTTTGTAGTCGAGAAGATTGCATGGACGTGGAAATAAAAGCAAGTGGCCTAACGAGGCAGATGGAAAAAGATTTACTCCTCGAAATGGGTATGGACTCCGAAAAGTCTGATGATGGCGACGAAGAAAAAGAAGAAGCTGAAGACAATGATGATGATGATGATAACGACAAAGATGATAAATTCGAAGACGCAGTAACGAAACAAGACACTGAAGACATCGATAAACTTCGTTTAGAAGTCGATGAATTATGTGAAGCGGGTTTTGGCCCCAACTCTAAAAATCAAATAATCAAAGCTGAGGAGCAACTCTCTAAACTTTCGATAGAATCTAAAAACCATAAAATTCAGAAAGAAGAGAATTCAGTGGATAATTCGAGTTCAGAAGAAACGGACGATGTTCCAGAATTAATATCATCGAATAATCAAACATACGATAGAGATTTCAGTGAAAGTAAGAGTGTGAGAAGTTACACTTCAACTTCGACGATTGATCCAAGTGTTATTAAAAGCAGAACTAAAGAGGCTTTAGTAAGAAGAAATAAAAAGGGTTCCTGTCGAAGAGTATTAGTGAAAGGTGAAGCGAGTGCCACTTCGAGAAGTCGAAGAGAAAGCAGAGACACAATTAAACAGTCCACAGGAATTTGGGGCTGGGAATGAGTCATTAAATTCAGTTTTGTTTCTTTTTATTATTATAATTTAATATTTACGCGAAATATATATTCTTATCGTTCTTAAATTCTCCATTTATTCCGCACTTTTTAGAAACATTCAAGAATTTACTTACAAAGTAATTTCTTACTCGGATACTTATGACTTTTTTTTGACATTTTTCAATTATTTTTCAAAAATTACGCCTTTTTTCGACTTATTTTCAAAAATTGCGACTTTTTCGACTTTTTTTTCCAAATATTGCAACAAAATACCACAATTTTTGGTATAAAATTGCAAATTATTTCGATTTTTCTAGGTGTGAAAAATTACTAATAGACAAAAATCATTTAAACATTATTTTTGAATAATTTTTCTAATTCAATTTTCGAGATATACAATTAAAATAGATTTGGAATAATTGAAATTTTGTAAAATCCAAATTGAAAATAATTGATTTTTTTGCAAGTATTATTATTAAAATTTTTGAAAATCAACTTTTGAAGAAATTTAATTTTGCAAATTTTGTGAAAATAATTGAATTCTCGAATAAAAATTTAATGAAAAATGATCAAGTGTAAATTTATGAGTAAAAATTAAAATTAATGAAAACTTGGTTCTAAAAACTAATATTAAATTCTTTATTTTTAAAAGTAATTCTTAGAATTTTTTTTTTATTATAAATTTTTAAAATTAAATTATTTTCAATATTATAATTATTTCAAAAATATAATTCCGAAAATCTAAAGACATATAGGTACAAAAAATAATACAAATTTTAAAATTTTTCAGAATTATTTTTAACATTTTGGAGAAAACAATCATTGTGGAAATTTTTAATTTAAATTCTTCAAAAAATTACTTTGTTTTTTTTTTTTAAATTATACGAAAAATTTTAAATTCTTTTAAGAACTTCAGTTATTTTCGAAAAATTGCATTAGAATATTTTTAAAAAACTAATTCTTAGAATTGTTTTATCATAATTTTTTAAGATTCACTTATCTTCGAACAAGGAAAATTCAATTTTTTTTTTAAATTTACTTCTTTAGATTCTTATTAAAATTTCGGAAAAATTATGTTTAAATATTTATAATTAAAATTCTTGAAAAATTTGATTATTTTACATTTTTTAAAAATTCAATTATTTTAAAAAGATTTTGTTAAAATTCAAAATTATTTTTAAACGATTTTACCAAAATCAAGTTCAAAGTTATCACAAAACGTAATAATTCATTAAAGGGATAAATTACTATTATTTCAAGAAATTAAGAAAACTTTTCGATACTTTGCAAGCACCTTTCGTTTATAATCACTATTTTCTAAAAAGATTTCCAAAAAGAATAAATTTTTACAAGAATTAAAATTTTTAGGATAATTTTTCAAAATTAAAAATAAGGATTTAAATTAAATATATTATTAAAAATATTATATTAAAAAAATAATAAATGAAATTGCTCCAAATTCTGGAGGGGAAAAAAGCAGTAGGAATATTGTGCTTGCGCACTCGCTTATAAATTGCTTGTGCCAAGAAAATTCGATTCAGTTTAGTTCCCGCAGTGCTGTTCAAAATACATAGGCTCTAGTCGACTAAATAGAAACTGGTGAACGATGGCGAAAAACAATCTCACGGCAATTCTTTACGGAATTAATGACATTCGATTGGTTAGTAGAAAATATTTTTCTCCTTTAAATTATTATAGAAACATGGACAAAATTTTTTGAAAATTTATAGAAATTTTTCATCTAACCTTGAGTTTGACAGTAATTGTATAGTTTAGATGAGGGATTATTGATCATGAGACACGTGTTTGTAATAACGTAATATAAAAACAACCCTCTTCCGGATTTTCAATTTAATAATAATTTTAATAATTTTTTTTAAACATATTTCACAAATATAGTTAAATTAATAAAATGAACGATCACTCCAAGTAAATATTTTACTAATTAATTATTTTTGGTATATTATTTAATTAGAAATAAACTAAATAGAAATTATTCAACTGGAAATTACTTAATTATAGAAATTATTTAATTGGGAATTATTTAACTAGAAATTGTTTATTGAATATAAAAATCGAATTTTAGTACAATTAAATTTATTTTACACTTGTACTAAAATTAGATTTTTATTTATTCAATAAGGAAAAAAATTTGTATGTTTTTCGAGATGGCGGTACTTTTTAATTTTTTATTAAGATTGCAATTTTTTTTTATTACAGGAACAAACACCAATTGAAGAACCAAATGAAGGCGGTGAGTCTATAAAATACAAAGCATCGTTGTATGCACTTATTTGTTTAAGCTTATGCAATATTTGTTGACCTTCATTCAAGTGCCAGCGATAATTGTGCAAATTTAAAAACAATTCCATTTTCATTTTCATAATGTTCCATAATTTAATTAGAATTAATACAAATAAAAAGAAGGAATTTCTATATTGCTGAAGTCGAAATAAAAATACAAAAAGAAAAAGGGCACAAAAAAGTGCAAAGTATTTAAAAGTAACTGGAAAATTTCTCCTTTATTAGAAATAAATTGATTTTATTGAATTTTCATTATGATTTTCTAAAGTGATTGAAAGGAGGTCAAATGAAAGTATAGTTGTAAATGAATGAATAAATAAAAAAGTACTTTTAATTCTTTTTTTTTATAATTTTATCTAAGTTGTGATATAAGAAGTATCACATTGTTATCTATTTTCTTCTTTAGTAAACAACTAAAAGAAAAAAGTTGATGTTTGCTAATAATTATCTCTTAACGATTTCACTGAATTAGCTAAGTATTAAAAGATAGTGAATTGGAAATTTTAATTTAAATAAAAATACTAAAAATTTAGTTAAAGTTTCTAATCAGTTTTTAAGCAATTTATTAATTAAACTTTTGCAATTTTCAAAATATAAAATATTTTTTTCAGAGGTTCTCCTCGAGATGAGCTGCGTTGGAATTTGTGGATCTGATGTTCATTATTTAGTGGCAGGACGAATTGGCGATTTTATTGTGAAAGAGCCGATGATTATAGGTCATGAAGCTTCTGGGACTGTTGTTAAACTTGGAAAAAATGTGACGAACCTTAAGGTACGAAATCGTTTTTATATTATACAGAAAAAATTAAGATTTAAATTTAAATTAAGATCTTTTACGAAATTTTGGCTTTTGTCTAGCGTTCTTGGACGTAAAATTCGCAGGACTGTGTTATTATAGATGAAAACTTGTTCATTATAGAAAAGAATATAATTTTGAAATTTAAAACAAATGGTAGCTAATTATTTAAATTGATTATTGCATAGGTTGGGGATAGAGTCGCTATTGAACCAGGAGTTTCATGCAGAATGTGCTCGTTCTGTAAGGAAGGACGCTATAATTTATGTCCTGATATGATATTTTGTGCTACGCCACCAGTTCATGGAAATCTTCGAAAATACTATAAACACGCTGCCGACTTTTGTTTCAAGTATTAATTATTAATTTATTTTATTTCTCTTTCCCAGGGAGAACTTCGAATATTTTTTTTTTGTCTCAATTCCATAAATAGTAGATTTTGAAAATATTGGAATTTCATTGAAGAATTTCATTGTTTGTGAAATGTAATTGATTTCTTGCAAAAAATATTTGAAAATAATTACATTTTTTTTTGAGGAATTCATTTAAAATTGTGTTAAAAATAATTTAAATCCTGTGAAGAATTTTATTATTTAAGAAAATAATTGAAATTGTACAAAGAATTTTATTCTTTTAAAATATTTAAATATTTTAAATATAGAATTCTAATAAAATTCTAAAAAGAATTCAATTATTTTCAGAAAGATAAATAAAATTCTCAAAAAAATTTAATTATTTTGAAATGAATTTTAATGGAATTTGTTTTAAAAAATTCAATTTTTCGATAAATAATAATATTCTTCTCAGAAATTCAATTATTTTGAAAAATTATAATAAAATCATCAAAAGAATTGAATTATTTTCAGAAAGTTTAATAAAATTCTCCAAAGAATTCAATTATTTCCATATATTATAATAAAATTCTTCTAAAAAATTAAATAATTTCCACAAATCCACAAATTATTTTTATTACAATTTTATGTAAATTCTTCGAAAAATGTTATTTATTTCAAAAATTTTATTAAAACTCTTCGAAAGAAATAAATGAACAATTATCAATTATTTTTAATAATTTTTGCAAAAGTTTCTATAGAGAATTTTTAAATTCAATTGTTTACAAATCAATTTTACGAAACTTTGATAGTTCAGAAATTCTTCAATTAAATATTTAAAAAATAAAAGATGGAAATAATTTTAGAAAAAATTCAATTAAACTTTTTCAAAATATAATTATTTATAAAAAATTCATGAAATAATACTTTTAATATTTAATTATTAGGATCTAAAATTTTAACTGAAATTCATTTTTAAAACAGTTTTTATTAGAAAATTCTACGAGAACTCAATAATTAAAATGCAAAAATGTAAAAATTATTGAATAAATAAGTGTTTCTCCAAATCCAATTCTCATAAAGAATTTTATTAACAAATTTTTAAATAATTGAATTTTTTCGACGAATTTAGATAGAATTCTCAAGAATAATTACATATTTTGAGGAATTCGTTTAAAATTGTATTAAAAATAATTGAAATTCTATGATGAATTTTATTATTCATGAAAATAATTGAATCTCTGTAAAAAAATTTATTATTTATGAAAATAATTTAATTTTGGAGAAGAATTTGATTATTTTTAAAGATAATTGAAATTGTACAAAGAATTTTATTCTTTTTTTTAAATAATCCAATTAATGTGAAAAATTGTATTATACTTATAAAAATAATTGAATTCTTGCGAAGGACTTTATTACATTTCTTTTAAATAATTGAAATCCTGTGAAGAATTTTATTAATTTTTGAAAATAATTGAATTCTTGCAACGAATTTTATTAAATTTTTTTTTAAATAATTGAATTCTTTTGAGAAATTTTATTAAAATAGTAGATTTTGAAAATATTGGAATTTCAGCGATGAATTTAATTATTTGTGAAATGTAATTGAATTCTTGTAAAAAAATGTTTGAAAATAATTACATATTTTGAGGAATTTATTTAAAATTGTATTCAAAATAATTTAAATCCTAGGAAAAATTTTATTATTTATGATAACAATTAAATTCTTACAACGAATTTTATTCTTTTTTTTTTTTAAATAATTCAATTAATGTGAAAAATTGTAATAATAAAAATAATAATATTCTTAAAAGTTATTGAATTTAAAAAGGTTTAAATTTGAATTTTTTAAAAATCTTAACTCCTATATGGAAGAATAACAATGATTAAATATTTATTTATAAAAGAAGTTATTGATGTTTTCGAATAATTTTACTTTTGAAGAAATTTTTAAATAAATGTAATAGAACATTTTTTTGAGTATCCAATAATTTTTAGAGTAAATCTTATTTTTTTTTTGGTCAGGGAAAAAGTCAAAATCAACCAGGAAAAAGTCTGCGGGAATTTGGGAAAAGTCAGAAAAAAACAAAATTAATTTTTTGTCGCAACCCTGTAAAAGTGTAATTCAATTTTTGTTTTCAGACTACCAGATCATATGAGTATGGAAGAAGGAGCTCTTTTAGAACCCTTGTCATGTGGAGTTCATGCATGTAAACGTGCCAATGTTGGAATTGGATCAAAAGTTTTAATTTTAGGAGCAGGTCCCATTGGTCTTGTTACTTTACTTGTTGCCAAAGCCATGGGAGCTAGTAAAATTGTCATTACTGGTAAATACTATTAAAATAAAAAATTTTAAGAATTTTAAAATATTTAAAAATTTTAAGAATTTTTAGATATTTAAGATATTTAAAAATTTTAAGAATTTTAAGATATTTAAGATATTTAAAAATTTGAAGAATTTTAAGATTCTTTGTTAGTAGATCTTATACTCTAGTTACTTTAAAAAATCCTTTCAGATCTTGTGCAGGAAAGATTGGATATGGCAAAACGATTAGGAGCAGATGCAACAATGTTAATAAGAAAAGATGCAACGGAGAAGGATAATATTAAGAAAGTCTACGAATTATTTGACGATCAACCTGATAAAACTATCGATGCATCCGGTGCTCAATCGTCTATTCGTTTGGCAATTTTGGTAACTACTTCACTAATTTTTTTTCAATTTGCTTTCACTTCGCTTCTTTTTTTATCAACGAAACATCAACAATGAATTTTAATTGTTAAAAAAAAGCCCAAATGAAAGCAACTTGACGAACAATTTATTTTAAGTACATTTTAGTAACTTTTCCTCTCCCAAGGCTACCAAATCCGGTGGTGTAGCAGTTTTAGTCGGAATGGGTGCACCTGAGGTTCAGATTCCACTTATTGATGCACTAGTTCGAGAAGTGGATATTAGAGGCATCTTTCGATATGCTAATGAGTAAGAAAACTTGCTATTCTTTAGAAAAATTTTAAGGGAACTTTAAAGTGAACTTTTTTCAATTGAAAAATGAAAAATTCAGTCTTGAAATAACTTAACATTCGTGTTACAGCTATAAGGACGCTTTAGACCTCGTGGCATCGGGAAAGATAAACGTAAAGCCGTTAATCACCCACAATTTTAAAATTGAAGAAACGAAAAAAGCTTTCGAAGCTGCTATGACTCCAGAATGTAAAGCCATCAAAGTAATGATACACTGCTAATATTTTTCCTTCCTCTGTTATGAATAAAAATTATATATGTGATAAAAAAAAGTCCCTATGGTTCAGAACCCTTTTTAAGTGTAAATGAAAATTAAATATTTTATACAAATAAAGATTGTTTTAAACAAAAATAATTTCAGTACTTTTTCATCAAAATACAATACCAAATTTGTTCCTTCCTGTTTTGAAATAACCGCCAATTAAGATACAGTGCATGTGTTTTCTTCTGAAGAACGTGTCGCACTTATATGTAACCATAGAAACATATGAGTGGGACAAGTTCAGACACGTTCAAGATATCGATGATACGCAAACTGTAGTCAATTTTAAGAGAGTTACCTTTTACAAGTAAACTGATTAACGGCAAGACTCCTATTTTGTTTGGTTTGCATAAAGTTTTTTGTTATATTTTTAAATTATATTAACAAAACGATGGTAAATTTTATTATTTTTCAGATAGTGAAACTGTAATTTTTGGTTGGAACGTAAAAATACACGGCAGTTTTAACGTTGTATTTATTGATGTCGGTGAAGCTTTGTTTCCCCTCTATATATACACAAGAAAAATACGTTATCTCTAATAAAATATTATAAATGCCATTAGTATTCATAAGAAAGTTTTTTCTCTTTGGAATTTCTCTATTCTCGTTCAGGGTGAGTGTTAAAATATGTCATTGTATTTTTTCTTCTATTTCATTTAGAGATAAAAGATAAGTGTCAGATTTTTAGGTTATGATATCGTTTATGCGCGGTCTCTTTTGTATATCAACAAAAATTGAAAGGCATTAAAGTATGTAAACAAATCAAAACTTATTGTGTATACTTTTTTTTCTATAGTGTACGACTAGAAGAATAATGGCAAATCCAGAATTTCCGAAAACATTAGAAGGTTTTGGCTACGGATTTAATGAAAGTGAGTATTTACTATTTACTATTAATAATATTTAAAGTTGAGGGCAAATGAGTTTTCATATCTTTAATTGATTCCTTACATTAGGAATTTTTCTTACATTAGTACAGGCATCAAAGTACCTTTTTTCCTCAAAAAAGGTGAAAAGGAGAAATTTTATCCTCAAAAAAGGGATAAGAATTTATTTGTTTATACAACTTGCAATAATTAAAACTAAAATAATTAAAACATTCAAATTTAAATCTTTTTGAAATTCAACAATTTATAAGAATATTATTAAAAAAACATGAAGAAAGTGATCACTCCGAGTCTTCGACTTGAAGTGATCACTTTCTTTATGTTTTATAATAATTAAAGATGACCGAGTGATAAATATAATTATTTTCTACTAAAAAATATTTTTACTCTAACTTCTACAAAATTATTTTCATCATTTCAATTCAATTATTATTTTCTAGAATTTAAAACTAAAATTCTTCTTTAAATCAATCATTTACAATAATTAAAAAAAAATCTGAGGATTTTCAAATGTATATTTGTTTACAATTCAATTTTACGAAATTTCATCGATTATTCGGAAATTCTTCAATTAAATATTTAGAAAATAAAAACTTGGAATAATTTCAATTAAACTTTTTGAAAAAAAATTAATTCTACAGAATTGTTAGTTAAAAATATGAAAAATTCAGATTTTCAAAGATTTCAATTTGAAACTTTTTCAAAATTCAATTATTTCTAAAAAATTAATCACGTTTAATAATCAATTTCAATTTAAAATTATAACTGAAATTCATTGATTTAAAATCAATTTTTAATTGAAAATTCTACAAAAATTCAATTATTTAAATAGAAAATTAAATAATTTATTGAATAATTTAATGTTTTTAAAATGGAATTCGTATAAATAGAGCTTTATCGAAATTTTTTTGAAATAATTGAATTGTAAATAATTATTTTTAGAAAAATTTTATGAAATTTCTATTCTAATTTCTAGATAATTGAATTCCTGGGAAAATTTTATTATTTATGAAAATAATTGAATTATTGCGAAGATATTTATAAAAAAAAATTTATAAATAATAGAATTGTTGTGAAATTATTTTATTATTTATGAAAATAATTAAACGTTTGCGTAGAATTGTAATAAAATTTTTTTTTAAATAATTGAAATCTTTTGGAAAATTTTATTAAAATTGTAGATATTGAATATCATTGAATTTAGGAAAATTTTTGCAAATAATTTAAATGTTGCCAAGAATTATTTTTGAAAATAATTGAATTTCGAAGGAGAATTTTATTATTTGTAAGGATAATTGAAATTTTTATGAGAATTTCTTTTTGAATATAATTGAATTTCTACTAAGAATTTTATTACTTTTGAAAATAATTGAATTTTTGCAATTTGCAACTTCTGCAAAATTCAAATTTTTTTAAGTGTTTTTAACTAAAATTCCTCGTTAATTTCTTTATTTCTAATAATTAATTAAATATACACATTAAAAAATTTAACTTATTTTAGAATAATTTAAATTTTGAAAATTTTTGCAATTTCCAATAAAATTCTTTCAAAATTAAAATTTTATAAAATTTGAAATTAAAATCTTTTCCAAGTTCATCTGTTTATGAAAATTGTAAACGAAACTATTTTAAAATTGAATTAATTTTGAAATGTATAAATAAAATTTTATTTATTATTCATTAAATAATTTCTAAGTTATAATTTTATGATAGTTCTTCAAGAATTAAGTTATTTAAAAAGAAATTATTGTCAGAAATGGAAAAAATTGAAGGTTTTGTATTAGAATTTTTGTTTTTTTTTTTTTAGAAAAAACTATTAATAATAATATTTAAATTAGTTGAATGTTAATTAGTTTTCTGAAGGTCTGCATTCTGTTGAATGAACCACCTTATGATTTATGAAATTCTTTACGTTGTATTATTTAAATCATTAACGTAAAACACATTTATATTATGTTGTGGTGTTAATAATCTAAATAAAAAATAAAACGCACTGAATTCTATAACATTGAGTCTAAATTTTATGATTACACTTTGAAAAAGATTTCAAAAAAAGAAAAACTTGTTTATTTTTTATTAGAAAAAGGTGAAAAAGGGGACAAGTCAGCAAAAAAAAGGGAAAAAGGTGATAAAATTGAAATAAGGGGACAAAAGGGGACCAATTGTGATGCCTGCATTAGGAATAATTTTAGGAGTTGTAAAATATTGTAATTTCATTGAAAATTTCTTTGTATTTTTCTGTCATAATAAGATTTTGAGTTTTAAAAAAAATTGAAACATATTTTCATTTACAGATGGTAAACTTCGAAAATTAGATCCAGAAACAGGTGATTTAACCAACGAACCATTTGAATTTAACGTTTCTGATGATTCAGATTACAATCAAAAACATTATGAGGCTCTAGGTGAAGTACGTACTTTTCGATTATTAAATACAATTGTATTTATTTAATTTTTATGTATTTTTTAAATTTCTTTTACAATTATGAATATTTTATTTATTTAAGGTTATCAATCATTATGTGTATGGCCTTTTGGAGAAAGAAGGATTAAAGAGGTTGCCAGTACCAAGAAACAGTAACGATCCTGAAGAATTGAGGACATTTATCTTTGCAAGTGATGATTATGTAGAAAATGAGAAATTAATAGTTTTAATTCATGGCAGTGGCGTTGTAAGAGCTGGACAATGGGCTAGACGTTTAATTATTAATGATAATCTCAATTCGGGAACACAAATACCTTATGTAAAGAGAGCCAGAGAATTAGGATATGCAGTGATTGTCTTGAACACTAATGACAATCATAGACTAGTGAAGGGAAAGCAGAAAGAAATTAAAGTAATTTCCTTAATTTTTTTTGTTATTTACTTGACTGTTAAATAAATATCATAAATTCACAGCTTAATTTGTTAAATTTTTGCAGTGAATTTTTTCAAAATCTACTTTTTAATTTCAGGACAGCGAAGATCCGGAGAAACATATGGAAACTGCTTGGAATGACTACATTAAAACTTCTAATGTTAAACACATTGCGATTATTGCTCACAGTTATGGAGGTGTTTGCACCGTCGACTTTGTGAGTTCAATAAGTTTTGATAAATGGGATTATTTAATAAATAATATTCTTAAAAGTTATTGAATTTCAAAAAGGTTTAAATTTGAATTTTTTTAAAATCTTAATTCCTATGGAAAAGTAATAATTAAATATTTATTTATGTAAGAAGTTATTGATGTTTTCGAATAATTTTACTTTTGAAGAAATTTGTAAATAAATGTAATGGAACATTTTTGTTTTTTGAGTATTTAATAATTTCGCCAGAATAGTAACATATCTTCAGTATAATTTACTTTTTTGTCATATGAGTAAATAACGAAATATTGTTTAATTATTTCCAGGGTATACAGAATCCAGAAGAAGTGATAAACAAGGTTTTTGCTATTGGCTTCACTGACTCGGTTCATGCTATGCCTTCGAAAGGAGTCGATCACTTAATTAAGGTAAAGCTATTATTCTTATATTCTTTTCGGGTTTTTTTGTTACTTGCTTCAAAGATTTATTTTTAAATATAATTCCCATAGTTCCCACCAGGTGACCGAATTCTTGTTTTTTTTTTTTTGTCTTTTGAGTACGCTGAGTTAATACAAACAGTGAAGAAAGAACTTTCCGAAGAGTTAGTACAAACACTGAAGAAAGAGCTTTCCAACTTGTTTAGACATTAAACCTTCTTTCTTCTTCAAAAAAGTGTTTGTCAATTGCTCGCTATTATTTTTGCCGGAAATTAAATATATAAACGTGTGTGACTAGTTGTCTTAAAATGTCAAAGATAATCATTCGATTCGCGATGGAAGACCTTTTGTTATATCGCCAGACGGATTTGCCTCCCTTACATACTTAAACGCCAAGTCGAATGTAGTAATTGATGGGGGTTCGCTAGAGCGATTTGTCCATCTGTGGCATTGTCCTTTCTCAAATGACACAGCGTGACTTCTCTTATTAGCTGTCTACATTACCAAGTGGCACTTTACCACCTCGGGCACTCCTCCATGTGGCGCATTAATGATTATTTTTTTCCCGATTTATTTCCAAATCTAGATAGAAAATATACTTTAGAACTGAAGAAAATTAGAATTCATTTGGGATGATGATAGTAGAGTATCAGAATCAAAATTATTTGCTATTTAAAAATTAAAAGAATGTTTAAAAGAAGTTTTAGCAAATTTCTAGGACAAGTACTTGATAGTTTTTGAACCTATTCGTTTGTAAAAAGATTTAAAGCATCTGCTGGTATTGTTTGTGATACAATAAAGCCGCGTGACTTCTTCTATTAGCCACTTGAGCATTTAAGAGGTGATCCATGATATTTGACTATATGACAAGCAAAGTCAATAAATACCTTGGAGAGGTCTTTTTTTTTAAAAAAAAAGAGAACTCGATCCAGGCGGGTAATTATCGAATGTCAGTGGCTCATCATTCCGCGTCATCGAAGTTGTATTTAGGGAGACAGTTTTTCTCTCAAGGGAAATTAGTGCGTGCAGAAATATTCTTTTTACGATAGTTTCATCCATAAAAGCAACCGTATATATATATATTTCACTGCAATGAAAGAAAGATTGGAAAGTATGTATGCTGCTCTTTTACACAAAAATTGCGCGCAAAAAAAAAAAGTTGTGCTCTACTCGTTATTGATTTTCCTTTGAGGCAAATGGATATGTCGTTCTGAATAGGACTTTTTTTTCGACAAATGTTACTACTGATCAAGAGTTTTCGTCTGATGGAATTTCAAAAAAGAAAAAATATGACGCATATTAAAATGTAGAGGTTTTTTATATTGCAAGAATTTTTTTTAGATATTTTGTTACCTGTAGAGTATTTCTATACTGATATTTTTTGTTCCCGTTTTTACAATGATTCGCAAAAGAATTCAATTATTTTTTAAAAAAATTGATAAAATTCATTCAAAATTCAATTATTTAAAAAAAATAAAATATCTTTCTTTAGTCAAAGAAGAAAAAAGTTTTGTTCTTTCTTCAGTAAAAGAAGAAAGAAATTTTCTTCTTTCTTCAGTAAAAGAACGGACTTTACGGACCTTTTTTAAATAAACTAACTTTTACGGACTTTAAACAAATTTACGGACCTAGTTCTCGAGCCCTGTATAAGAGAATAGAGTGAAGAAAAGTGCGGAATATCAAGGGATGAATGTCGTGCTTTGACAATAGCCGTTACTCTCCTCTCGACTTCGGGTTTGAGTGAAGTAGCTGCTGAGAGAAGTGGCTATCTGGTGTAGTTTGCCAGGAACCTATATAACGCCCCTTGTATACCATCAACCTATTGCAGTGGGAGTCACTAATATCTAATGGGATCCTTCTTAGAGCACTGAATTGTCTACAACTTTTAACGTTGGGGTACTTAACTCCCAAGTCTAATCACAATTCTTTGGAATATTTCTTTTGCGCAGTTATTAAACACTCAACAGAAGTGGCCTTTTTATTTTTATTCCAATAGAACTTGTCTGAACAATTCTGAACAACGAAAATACATCATATCTTTGAATTTTGCCAATCTCAAATCAATTTTTCGCAAGTGTCGTGTAAAAAGGGTTCTACAGAAGAGAATCATCGATTCTAAGCTACTTGGTTTTCTAAGAAGTAATTTCCGTATTGATATTAGTTGAATCTAAACATATATTTTCTAGTAAAGAACTAAATGATCTACTAAACGAATTGAAAGTTATGATTAGGCCATAATCGTCTAAATGAAGTTTACCTAAAACCTAAAAATTATGATTAACCAACTTCAATTAATAGTTAATCACAATACTCAAAGCTTTTTCTGATTAGCAAATCACCATCTTTTCAAATGTTTAATTTTCAAAGTAAATGCAATTGTTAGATTGAATACATATTAGGTGACTGCTATATATAAAGTTTTGCTTCTGTGAATTGAGTTCGAGTCGATAATTACATTATTGGAGGTAGTCGGTAATTAATTAAAGTGCTACCATCTGTAAATAGAGAAATGCCGGGACTATTCGGTTGTTCGTAACTTGGCTAGTTCGCGTGTAAATATAATCGGCGTATATCTCTTGGGACTTGCGAACGATAATCACAGAAATTTGTTAGATGCTAGATTTCCTTGTTTGATCAAGAGTATTTGTGCGCGAATTGATGTATGTACTTCTAGCGTTCAGGTATATTAGAGAGGTTCGGGAGTTACAATAACCCATCATCATCGTCATCATCATCTCACTCGCACTTAGACAAAAGGAGAATAATGTAATCAACGGACACAAACGTTTGTTTAGCTAACGCTGCCCGTTTCGAGTCAATATCAGACAAATTTGATGCGTTCACTGTGTATAGTTTTGCAAAGTGGCAGCATTTTAGGTTAATCGACTTATATCGAGAATTAAAAATTTAATTTGATTTCAATATTTTGATAAAGACGAAACTTTAAAAATGAAAAATAGATAAATATTATATTAGGACAGGGTTGCCACAGAAAATTAATTTTGTTTTTCCCTGACATTCCCCTGATTCCCAGACATTTTCCTGATTGATTTTGACTCTTTCCCTGACCCAAAAGAATATTCTGATTTACTCTAAAAATTATTATACACTCAAAAAAATGCTCTATTACATTTATAAACAAATTTCTTTAAAAGTAAAATTATTCGAAAACATCAATAACTTCTTTTTTAAATAAATATTTAATCATTATTATTTTTCCATAGGAATTAAGATTTTTAAAAAATTCAAATTTAAACCTTTTGAATAAAATAAAAATAAAAAAAAAATAAAATAAAAATTTGTTGTAAAACTTCAATTATTTTCTTAAATAATAAAATTCTTCACAGGATTTCAATTATTTTTAATACAATTTTAAATGAATTCCTCGAAAAATGCAATTATTTTCAAACATTTTTTGCAAGAATTCAATTACATTTCACAAACAATGAAATTCTTCGCTGAAATTCCAGTATTTTTAAAATCTACTATTTTAATAAAATTTCTCAAAAGAATTCAATTATTTAAAAAAAATGTAATAAAATTCGTTTCAAGAATTAAATTATTTTCATAAATTAATAAAATTCTTCACAGGATTCTCAAGATTCTCCGAAAATATTTAAAATAGAATTCTAATAAAATTCTAAAAAGAATTTAATTATTTTCAGAAAGATAAATAAAATTCTCAAAAAATTGAATTATTTTCAAAAATGCTAAAATGTTTCTCAAGAATTTAATTATTTTGAAATGAATTTTAATGGAATTTGTTTTAAAAAATTCAATTTTTCGATAAATAATAATATTCTTTTCAGAAATTCAATTATTTTGAAAAATTATAATAAAATCATCAAAAGAATTGAATTATTTTCAGAAAGTTTAATAAAATTCTCCAAAGAATTCAATTATTTCCATATATAATAAAATTCTTCTCAAAAATTAAATAATTTCTACAAATGCTAAATTTTTTCGCAAGAATACAATTATTTTGAAATGAATTTTAATAGAATTTCTGTAAATATCCAATTTTTTTCATAAATAATAAAATTCTTCTCAAGAATTGAATTATTTTCAGAAATAATATAATTTTTCCCAAGAATTTAACTTTTCAAAATAGAATTTAAATAAAATTTCTTGAAAGAATTTAGGTATTTTATACATTTCAAAAAATTCAATTTTTCCTATAAATAATAAAATTCTTTTTAGGAATTCAATTATTTTCATAAAAATTAAAATTCTTTACAGGATTTTCAATTATTTTTATTACAATTTTATGTAAATTCTTCGAAAAATGTTATTTATTTCAAAAATTTTATTAAAACTCTCCGAAAGAAATAAATGAATAATTATAAATTATGTTTAATAATTTTTGCAAAAGTTTCTAGAGAATTTTTAAATTCAATTGTTTACAAATCAATTCTACGAAACTTTGATAGTTCAGAAATTCTTCAATTAAATATTTAAAAAATAAAAGCTTGAAATAATTTCAGAAAAAATTCAATTAAACTTTCTCAAAATACAATTATTTCTAAAAAAAAATGCATGAAATAATGCTTTTAATATTCAATTATTATCTAAAATTGTAACTAAAATTCATGTTTAAAACAATCTAAATCCAATTCCAATTATTGAATTTCTCTAAAATTTTTAATTATGAAAATAATTGAATTTTGGAGAAGAATTTGATTATTTTTAAAGATAATTTAAATTGTGATGAGAATTTAAAAATTTTTTTGAACATAATTGAATTTCTGCAAACATTTCTAACTTCTCTAAAATTTAATTTCTTAAGTGTTTTTAACTAAAATTCTTCTATAAATTGAGGACTTAATAATTTATTAAATGTGTATTAAAAAACTAAATAAAACTAATTACAAATTCTGCAATTTAAATTTTTTCCAGTACTTTAATAAAAAATCCCTGACCTCTGTCAACCGTGTAAAGAGCTAAAAGGGAAAAGTTAATTATTTAAGATTTGCTTGCAAGTTAATTTGAACTACCTACACTTTTTTTCCTTTTTTTTAATAAAATTTAATATTGGTAATAAATCCCATAATAACATAAAATCTTTCATGCTTTCTGAAATACAGAAGCTTTATGAACTTTGAAATATGTATTTTTGTCCACAAACGCTTTTAGTTCGTTTCTAGTAAAAGCTAGAAGACATTTTTCTTCCTTTTTTTTTAAATAAAATTTTGATATTGGTAATAAATCCGATAATCACATAAAATCTTTCATGCTTTCTGAAATACAGAAACAAATTTATGAACTTTTGAATATGTTATTAAATTTGTATTTTTTTAGTTCGTTTCTAGTGAAAGTTAGAAGACAACTGACGCCTATATGGCAACTCCAACTGAAGATCTCAGGCCCTATGCAACAAAAATAGATAAATTAAACATAATTTTCCATGGTTCTGGTTTTTTATTTGGTATATAATGGTATTTAAAATTGTTCGTTAAGGATAATTGGAAAATGGACTTCTAAGATTTAATAAGAGACGAAGGAGAGTAAAACAGGTGTGGTGGTTAAGGCTAAGTCAATTCTGCGGTTTGTGGTGAAAGGCGCACGTGCGCGAGAATAGTTTGAATAATGCGGAAGGATATTTATTTCGATATCGGAACAACCGGTATTATATTGTACGGATGTAGCGTCTTCTCTTTGCGGCTTTGTGGTTACAGGTGCTTAAAAATTGGACCCTATAATAATATTGAGAAGCCACTTAAGTTAAACAAGTTATATCACCGTTGACTCTCTTCATGCTAAATTAATTCCTTCAAAAATGACATTTCTAAACTGAAATTCCACTTTTTGTTTCTCTTTATACTATTTTATTTATTTTTTTTTTAATAAAAAATATATATAATTTGGTATATTTTTTTGTTGCAGATTGCTAAAAATTGGGTTTCTTCCGAAAAACCATTAGATACACCTGAACTTTCTCTAAGTGGAGATATTGTACGAGTATCGTCAGGACATAGTGTCCACGAAATGACATCGTCGTCTTGCATGGATTCTCTCTTCAATTATTTAACTGATCAATATAAACAAGCGACTAGTACAAAAGAAGAATTATAATTATTCACATATGATTCATATTATCCACTGATATGTGGGTAATACGATTTTTATACACTTTTAGACGATCAATTCTTTCTCCACTAATTTTAAATTATTCGCATATATTTTTTATTGTCTTCCATGAAACGAATGGAAGTCTCTTATTTCTTCCTATTTTTTTTTAATTTAAAATCTTTAGATGATAGATGTAAACCGAGAATTATTTTTCAACAATGTCTAGATAAATTAGGAACGAATTGTGTGGTTCATTTTTTTTTATATAAATATTTGCACTCTACTTGAGTAGATTAGTTGAATTCTAATGTAGCACATTTATATTTTTGAAAAATAAACTGTCACTAATAGATTTTATAAATTTTGTCTTTTATTTTTCCTTTTAATTTTTTTTTAATTAAAACATTCTGGCAGAAATCGTCAGATTAGACCGGGGACGATAGAAACTTCGATGGTGTTAGAGTGGGGATAACAACAGTAAAGGGTTATTGGATTGTTGTTTTTGAAACTATATATTTAATGAATTAATTTATTTACTAGTTTGTAATTTCATATAATTGTTTTCGTCATTAACGTGTCTACTTTATCAAGAAATCTGTCACACAGAAATGTTTGTTTTCTTGTGACGAAAAGCAGGCCAAGCATGCGTCTGTAATTCTGTTACTGTAATTGCATTACGAGCATTCCTCTCCAAACAATAAGCTACTAATACTAGAGAGATAATATCGCTATTACCCCGATTATCGTTCATTAATATTTCCCTTAAATGAAACCAAATAATCGACAGGTTTAGAGTGAAAACCTGTTAACTCGCAATTATGAAAATTTCCAGAAGCAAAAAACTTCTCAAAAGAAATCTTATCGATGTAAATGTCTTAATTTTTAATATCAATAACAAAAAAAGAAACAGAAATTAATCGTTTCTTCAAAAAAAAAGAGCTTTTTTTGAATCAAATAAAAATTAATTGACTCAATTAAATGGTTTAATTGTCCTATTATTCAATAAATATTTATTTGAATCAAGTAAATATTTATTAGATCTGAATACTTTATTTTATCGTATCAAATAAATATTTGTTTGTACCAAATATTTTTTATTTGTTTCTATTAAATAATAGATTTGCAATGAATAATGCATTATTTGAATTAAATAATTTAGTTTACTTAAAGCGATAAAATAAATTAATTGCATCAAATAATGTTTATTTATATCAAATATCCAATTAGATGAGTGAAATAAATAAATTAATTGTTTCAAATAACTCATTATTTATATCAAATAAATTCATTTATTAGAGTAAATTAATTATTTAATTGACTCAATTAAGATTTATTTAATTCAAATAATTCAAGTTCTTTGAAGCAAATAAATATTTTTCAAATGATTTGAATTAATTGAATCGAATAATTTTTTTCAGTGTGATACAATTTAACACAATTAGATTCAACACTATTTAACTATATTTATATTTTCTTAAAGAAATTTCGATTTAAATTTTAATTACAACTCATTTAAATTAATTAAAATACAGGGTGTCTACTATTTTCGTTCAAAAAAATTCCCGGCTTTTTCCTAATGTTTCCCGGTTTTTTTCTTATCAAATTTGAATTTGTTTCATTTCGAACATAAATAAATAATCTACAAATGGCTTCCAAAATTTTTATTAGAGTTTTTATGAATAATTAAATTATTCTTTTGACGAGTTTCTTTAACTTTTCTGAAAATAATATGTTTTTAAATAATTTTAATTAAAAATTTCGAAAATAATTGAATTAAACAAAAAATTTTTCAATCTTTAAAAATAATCTTGTCTGTTCATAACTACAATTGAAACTTTGATTAATTCACAATTTTATTAAAATTTGTTGTACTAATTGAATTTCTTCAAAGAATTTTTTAAACATAATTGAATTTCTGCGAAGAATTTTATTACTTTTGAAAATAATTTAATTGTTTTTTAGAATTTTATGGGAATTTATGAAAATAATTGAATTATTGCGAAGAATATTTTTTAAAAATAATATTCAAAAGAATTTAGTAAAATCTGAAGAATTTTGCTATTTATGGAAATAATTGAATTTTTGAGAATATTTTTTTTCCGTTTTTAGAAATAATTGAATTCTTTCGACGAATTTTAATAAAATTTTTAAGAATAATTACATTTTTCTTGGAATTCGATTAAAATTGTGTTAAAAATAATTGAAATTCTGCAACGACTTTTACTATTTATGAAAATAATTGAATGTATTGCGAAGAAATTTTTAAAAATAAAATTATAATTACTGTGACTATCTTCCCTTGATTATTTTCAAAAAATTTAAATAAAATTCTTTCAAAGAATTTAATTATTTTTAATAGAATGTAAAGAAATTTCAATTATTTCAAAAATTTTCCAATTATTTCTTTATAAAAATTCTATATATATTATAATTATTATTATAATTATCTTGAAACAACATAATTAAAAAATTTCAAAAACCTTATTTTTCAGAATTTTCAAAAAAATTTCGTGAAAATTCAATTTTATTGAAAAATTTTAAGTGTGTATCTTTTTTTAAATTAACTAATAAAAAATTTTAATTAAGATTAATCTTCACACTAAGAAAAATGAATACATTAGAATGTGACTCTTTATAAAATTCAATTATTTATCAAATATTAAATTAAAATACTTTAGAAATTCGATTTGTTAAAAAGTTTTTAATGAAATTCTTTAACAAATTTAATTATTTTTTGTTGAATTTAACAAAATTTCTATTAATTCGATAATTTTTTAAAAAATTTATTTAACATACCATATTTGTAATTAGTGATTGATTTTTTACTATCAAATTAATTATTTTTAACCAATTCAAATTTAAAGAAAAGTATAAATATCTTTAAAAATTGAAATAAAAAGCGATTTTTTAAAAATAAATAAAAATAATAAATCTTTTTTTAATTTCCCGTGTGGAAAATGAAAATTGGTCCTAGCCAGGTCCTACCTATTTTGCCCTGTTAATAGCTTGGTCCTAGGTTGGCAGTGTAGGTTGGACCAACAATGGCTGGTGATGCGATTCTAGCCTGGTCCTAACTTGGGAGCCTAGTTAGGACCAGTTTATGGGTCCATTTTAGGACCTAGAAAGGACCATCTCAGACAGTATTTTCTATTTCATTATAATTTTAATTAGTTAATAATATTTGTTAAAGAAATAACCTAAATTATTAATAATAAGTATTAGTTTTAATTAATTATTATTTTTTTCAATGAAATGATGACCAAAAGCGAATTCATAAATAATGTTAGTATATGTAGAGATTAATATATATTCCTCTAATATATACATTAAAAATTATAAAAAAATTAGAAATTTGTTAATTAAATTATTTTACAGTATATATAATCATTAAATTGCATACTTATACGAATACAATGCAGAAAAATCGGAATAAACGCAAACCTAAGAAGTAAATAAAATCTAACGCACGCGGGAATCGAACCTACGACCTACGGACTACGAGACTAACGCCCTAACCACTATGCTAATGAAACTAGTTGAGATCAAAATTTTTATTGTCAGTGACTTGTGGACTTGCTTTTGATGATTCAATATAGTAGTTATTGACACTAATACACGATAATAAATAAAAAAAATAGTTTAACAACAACAATAATAATAAAATAATATCCAAATATAAAAATTCAAAAATTAATATTTTTATATTATATCAAGAAAAAAAATATCTATACATTTTCGTTAAAAACAGGTTTTTCATTGTTCTCAATCATTTTTAACATTAATTTCTTGGTCAAAAAAAAATATTCGTCTTTTGGACTTGGAAATTTTTCCTAATCAATTAAGCGGGTGATCCACTTTTTAAAAAAATGTCAAAAAAATTTATGTTAAAAACACGTTTTTCATTATTCTAAATTATTTTAAGCATTAATTTTTTGTTGCAAAAAAATTTTTAGACTTGGACTTAGAAATTTTTGCTAATGAAACTAGGAAGCCCAGGTAGGTCCTGGGTTGGACCTGGGTGGGTCAGCCCACATTCAAATTGCAATATCTCTTAGTGTTTAGCACCAACTTAAACGAAACTTAAAATCAGCGAACGAAATTAGAAATATATTTTACTAATGATAATTATATTGCAGTCTGTATCTGTTTAAATAAATAAATAAATTTTGCTGTTTTATTAACTTTTGTAACAAATTACTTAAAAATTTGCAGTTTTTTATCTAACTTCGCGATTATTACACTTGAGTAATGAAATATGAAGATAGTTTATAATTTTAACAATTCAGCATTTGTTTAAACAAAAAATTGTTGTTATTTATTAATTCCTAAGACAATAAAGCGTCTAGACACTTATAGTCTTTTAAAATTTTGCAATTAACTAATCTGAGTATTTATTTATTGCAAAATTAGAAAAAACTGCTAGTTTCTAGGTTGATTGTGTAAAAAGTTAGTAAATAACAATTATTTGTTTAAACAATTGCTGAATTAATAAATTAATAAATTAACTTTATTTTATAGTATTTGTATAATTTTCTGATTTATGTCAATCAATAAATTGTTTAAACAAATATGATTATCAATTAATTTTATAAATATTAATTGAGAATATTTATGAATTTTTACATGTTTTTCATGTATCAATTTTGACACTTTATTTTCCTAAAAATTTTTCTAAGTCATAACTGGATCTCCTAGTTAGTACCAAGTTAGGACCAGCCTAGGATATATAAAAAGGGGTTGCCAAGTTAGGTCCAAGCTAGGGCCAATAATCATTTTAGGCATAGCATGGTGATTTCTACACGGGTTGGTGAAAAAAATCCCGGTTTGGCATAAATTTCCTGGCTTATTCCCGGCTATTTCCCCGTTAGTTGACACCCTGAAATAAAGTACATGAACAAAAACGTAAAATAACTGTTTTCCAAAAGTCATTATTTACATTTTTCTATGTTGTTTAAATGTTCAAATTGAGAATTAATTTTAATAATTTATTAAATTACTGTCGATTTTAAAATTCAATTCTTACTTTATACAAACACTTAAATATAAACGTTTTATAACGAAATTTTAGTACATTCCTCAATGTTACATAACATAAGAAAATTGATTTATTGCACAGAGGGGGGAAATAGTTACAACCGTTACAACAGTTACAACGACTTTGCTATAAATTTTGAGGTTAACTATTAGAAGCATAAAAACTTTGGAATCGGGATAACGTGGGAATGAATATTTTTCAAAGAAATTAATCAAATATAATAAAATTAATAGAGAAATATTTACCTGCTGTTTGTTCTTCGTTAAAACAGCTTCCATCAGCGAACTCCGGTCCGATTGTTGGGATTGTTGTGAGTGAAAATTCTA